TTTGTGCAGGGGCTCGCCTTGACTTTCTTTGTGCACTCCTCACCCTTACTTTTCTTCTTTGGAGAGGCAGCAGTGGCAGGCTTCTTTTTGCAGGCAGGCTCCTCACCCTTACTTTTCTTCTTTGGAGAGGCAGCAGTGGCAGGCTTCTTTTTGCAGGCACGCTGCTTGCTGCCAGAAGGGACACTGGTGCCATCATCATGCTCCATGGTCTTTGGTTTCACTTCATCTTCCAATGCCAGCTTGCCATCTTCCAATGCCAGCTGGACTTGAAACTTTTCATCTTCGACTTGAAATGATAAAGAAGTCTTGGAAGAAGGCTTGCCGAGACTCCCCCATGAACAACTGGGCTGCCCATCAACGCATGGATCTTTCTCATCCTCGGAAACAAGATCGCTGACTGAAGGGCGCCACTTCAAAGAAATCTTCTTTGCGGAACCATCTGACTCTTCCTCTGGACATGAAGTTGAAGGTTTGGCATCCTTCTTCGCCCCTTCAGGGATCATCTCCTTGAAAACAAAGTCAAACGCTGCCTGGCCCGCCATTGGACAAGACCTAATACTGACAGGTGGCGACTGAGACTGCTGACTGGTGGCTGCGGCAAATGAAAAAGGAATGAGATGAGGCCATGCCTACGAAGAATGCTAGAACACAAGGAATTTCACAGTTGAAAGTTGGCTGACAGTGTTTTGTTCTGATCTTTTTCCCCCAGGTTTGTTTGAGGTTCAGCTGAAAAATGCTGAAAAGCAGTTGCTTTGCCATGGAAATTAGAGTGAAAAACTAGCCAACCAAGCTATACACTCACAAACAGGCAAAGACTGCACGCCGCTCATGACGATCACTTGATCTCTCTCAATCTTCCTTGACAACCTTGACTGGCTTATTGGCTTCGAGTTTCACGTCCCGGTTCACAGTGAGAAAGGGTTTCTTGATGCTCAATTTGGCATGGACCGCATGCCAGTTGCACCTCCACATCCATGTGAAATTGGGGTGCAATGGCTTGGGCTGCAGAGCCAAAGGTCGGAATGCATTGCCCGAAGAGAAGCTCTTAGGATCCTTGTCCTTGGCCACAAAGCCCCAAGAAGTGCCCTCCTCTGCTGTCAGGTCGTAGCCATGATCGCCCAGTGCTGCATCTCCTTTGGAAACAACCTTGTATCCTGTGAGGCTGATCTCCGTTGCTGGAGAATTCTTCATCAAGTCTTTGGCCAACATGTAGAAAGATCCTCTCTTGCACTTGCTGCTGTCCTCGTCCTCATCATCGGCGTTGGAGCCAAGATTCACCTGTCAATTACAATCCGTTTGCATGTCACCTGTCCGTCTGAGTCATGTCCTTACATGTCAAAAACCATTACAAAAATCATGGAACAGTAACATGAAAAAATCGCCTCGAGAAGATCTCTGTCAGAGCCAAGTTCGAACTTGATGCCACACTCATCTCCCTGAACCAACTTGCCACTGCCAGAACCCCCAAGTCGCATCCCACGCTTCAAAGTCACAGCCTCCTTGCTGTAGATGAACGCCACACCTGTGTCAGAAACCAAAAGGATCACATTCTTGGGGTCAAATGCTTTGCACTCTACTTTGATGTTGTACTTTTCTCGGACCTTGGCTTCGCTTTCAAAGGCTGGCATGGTCTCAGCCGGCATGTCTGCCTCTGCCCCATTTGCAATGGGACGTGGATCCAAGGTGGTCCCTGAAGAGGGTGTTGAGCCTGCCTCTGGTGTCAACTTGGACTTCAAAAGCTCTCCATACATCTCAAAGTGCTCTTTCTCCACAGCTTCAAACCTTTCACGAATGAAGTGAGGAGCTTGCTGAAATTCAGCTTTGACAGGTGACATGATGACAACAGCAGATCCAGAGATCTGGCAAACCTTCAACTTGGCGCCAAGAGCACGGACTCCTTCATAAGCATCCCACACCCCATTCAAGGACTTGAGGTGCTTCACATCCTCTTCCGACAAAGCCTCAGAAACAGAAAATCGAAACCCTCAGAAAATCAGAAATCCTTCACATAAAGTACATGAACAATGAACCTTTGAAGAAAAACACATGCAAGCAAAGAACTTGGCAATCAATGTCTGGGCTGACTGTCTTGCCATCGAGCTCCAACTTCAGTTCGTGTTTCATCCAGCGCTGTGCCAGCCAATGACCCAATCGCTTGACACACCATTCAGCTGCCTGGACGGACGCCTTCAAGTTGTTTAACTGCACTAGGAAGTGCTTGATAGCAACTCCACTTGGCAGTTCGTCTTTCATCAGCATGGTGGCCAAACAGTGGTCCCCGACATAGGGGTGAATGTCCACCAGATGAACCTCGTCATTTGGCTTCAACAGCCCTGTGAGGTGTGGCTTCCGAAGTTTGCTTGTGCTCAACAGTGTCTTGTACAGCTGGAAGCTGGCATCACTACCCTTTTGAGCCGACCTTGTTGATGGCATGTACCGAACAGTTGTGCGCTCAGAGTCCCCCGGCGTCCCAATTTGGACCATGTCTTGAGAGGAGATCAGCGTGGCATTGGGAACCCGTCCCGTCCTTGCCAACTCACTCAACGAAGCAAAGTGATTATCAGCAGTTGCGCTCTCCAGGTCATTGTAGAGGAAAAAGAGCCTGCCACTGGCAGTGAAATCCCATTGCTGCTGCGTGTATGACCTGAGTTCACAGATACATTTCAAAGTCACCTGTCACGAGTTTGCAAATCACACTGACTGAGTCTGAGTCACCTGTCACACTGTCACACTGGCTGACACTTCCAAGTCAACTACTATCTCCTGTTACCTGTCACCTGTAACTTGATCAAAGCCGAGATGCTCTTCACCGGGGACACTTAGACATTGGTTCCAAGGAATCTGTGCTCCGAATCCAATACTTTTCATGCCCCTGCAAAATTCAACAAAATCCTCAAGTGGATCTGCCTGACTCTCTTCCTTTGAGCGACTTGCCATAGTCGCAAGAACCACAGTTTGCTCCACGCCTGCAGAATTTCTGGTTAAACATGGTGAAGCCAAGAATCAAAACATGAATTTAACTTGACACTGTCACAGTGTCCACAGTAATTGAAGCCTTGTGTTCGGCACAAGTTGGCCAAGCCCGTGATCAACTTTGGCTGGATCAAGGAATTCCGCGCCTTAGGGTGAAAAAGATCACAAAGAACAATGCAGGTCCAGAATGATTCAAATCAAGGAACGCCAGGCACATTGAAGTCGCAGATTGCCACCACCAGCTTCTTGCCCTTGATATGGGCAGTAACCTTTGAAGATACTGTGGCATATTGCCCTGGCAGTTCGGCCATGTCATTCAGTTCACACACTGGGCTCTGCATCTCCTGGTACTTCTGCACCAACTCCTGAGCTGTCTTTGCAAGAGCCAGCTTCTTCTTGCATGAAAGCCAGTCGAGGCAGTCTTGCAAAGTCTCAAATCCTGCAGGTGAACAGAAGACGACAGCATCACGAAACCAAGAGCACTATTTATTAAATATGTTAATATGTTTATTAAATATGTTTATTAAATATGTTTATTATGTTTAATATATTTACATCATCAATTTCAATATTAACAGTTGATGACTTGCTTGACAGAGTAAGTAACTCTGAGTCTGACGTCCTGTGCTCATGGACGACAGAAGCCGTTGGTCAACTGCAAGCTTGGCCTCCATTGAACGAAGCTTTGCTGTCCTTAAACCACAGCTGGATGCACCAAAAGCTATCAAAACAACTTGGTCGAAGATCCATAAACTTGGCCGAAGATCCACTCTTCTCGCTCAGCTGTTTCAATGAGATTCTCTTTGTCTTCGTGGGCTGCTGCTTGATCAGTCGCCAACGCAGCCACGTCTGGAAGCATGGTGACATTCCAAGCCATAGGCCATTGCTTGATGCACATCTTGATCTGTCCGTCAAGGGCCTAGATTCAAATAACTCAGAGATTCTACAAGTCCAATGGATACAAAGAACAAACCTTGATGCGAGCAAGTGGCATCACCTTTGAGCACTGCATCCTTGACATTCTCAAAGTCAGTGGACTTCAGGTCAGCGGAGCAGCAGTCTGCAATGCCACGGGTCCATGATGTAACAACAAAGCGGTAGGTCCACAACTGATCAACAGTGACCTTGGAAGATCCATCGTGGTTGGAAAGGGTGTCCTCCTGGATGCTAATGATCTTGTCCATGATCAGGTTGTGATCTTCTGGTGATAATTCTCCACCAAACTCCAACTGCTTTGACCTTGGATGATTTTGGAATGAACAACAATATATGAAAGTGAATAATCACTACCAACAAATGAATAAATAAACGCTATATATATATATTAAATATAAATATTTAAAATGTATGTATATATATATAAACACATGTATATACATATATATATATACATATATATATATATACATATGTATATATACACTATATTAGATATACATATATAAAACTATTTTTTGAGCAAAAGCACATCAGCCGGGGGGGCACCAACTTGGCGGCAGCAGCGGCGCCTGCTCTGCGAGCATACTCTTCTGCTTCGGATGGGAACATTCCATCAGCAGGCATTGATGTTGGCCACAAATGTTTCCAGGACAATACAGACTCATTGACAGATGACTCCGAGAAGAATGACAGATGACACTGCAAAGCACGATAGCTTTCGAACGTGCAGTAATTCAACATATGCTTGATTGCCGTCTGCTTTGCGGTGCCGATCTTGATCTCACGATCCTTCACAGCCAACTCTGCGTTTGAGTCTTGCTTTCCACTGTCCTGTGTCCTCTTGACACGTCGTCTCTTCACGGCCTTGGAAAACTTGAAGCTGAAAACTTGAAGCTGAAAACTTGAAGACTGATAGTAATTTTCCTTTTGGTTTGGGATTTTTACTGGCGACTTTTTGTCCTGTTTTTGGAACCCTTTTTGGGCACAAAAAGTCGCCCTTCTTAACCCCTTTCGCGCAGCCAAAATTACAAAAAACTGAGATGACTTTTCTGAAAAAACAAGAAGAAAGTAAAGCAGCTGAATGCTCTTCAAGGCACCTGTTTCTGTCCAACTACAATGCCCTCAGCATTCACCTTGCTGTCGAAGCCACACAGCAAGCTCTCGAAAGTTTTTACCAACCGCTTGCCAACCTCCTTTCTGGCCAAACGGTTCTCAAAACTCAGCAGCTGCTGGACATCCCCATCAGGGTATGCAGCGACAAGCACCAAGTCACACCATTGAATGCAGCTCAGAGGTTTGATCATACTGCCTTTGACATTCTGGCGGAATGCCTGCTGAATCAAAGAATCATTGGTGGATGCCGTGCCTTCCCATAGGGTGGGAACCTTCAAGAGGGTCTTGAAAATCTGCAAGGCTGTGTGATCCGTGCCCAGCTTTCCCTGCTCAATTTCAGATCTCATCAGACACCACCTCAGGTCAAAGTGACATTACAACAACACATTGTGAAGTTCAAACATATCAATTCAAAACATACATGAAGCCTAGTGGCACAAGTTTGCAAGCCAATGCTCGTTTGACTCCATCACCAAGCCGACAAGATCCCAATTCTCCAAGGCTGGATGGCAAATCCCTTGAGACAATGGTTTCTTCTGCCCTGAACCCTGAAGTGATGATTGAGTTGGCGGTGCCGATGATGTTGGCTGCTTCGCAGCTTGAGCCACTCCTGATTGCTAGATGCACACATGACTGTCATATTGTCATCTGTCATATTGTCAAAACTTCACACTGACATATTGTCATCTGTCCATGACTGTCTGAAGATTATCTGCAGCTGGGAAGCCATAAGGATGATGCGTCCCATCGAAACATGTGCGGCATGGAACTAGACACCATGCCCTCCGAACAGCTTTTCAAAGTGTGGTCCACTGACTCGCTTGCAAACTGAGATGCTGCTTCATCATCCTGAGATGTGCGAATAATTCACACCAAAACTCACACTGACTGACTGACTTTAAGGCGCATGAAAGCCTACATGTCTCCAAGAATCTTCCCCACTCAAAGCCTTGAACATGCTGGCAATCTCTGCCTTCACGTCCTCAACCGCACTTGGCAAAGTCAAGCCTGCGATCTTCGTAGCCAAGAGCTCCCTGGTGGTCGTGCACTCCTGTGCAGGGAAGCACTTGAAAGTGAAATTGAAGTTGAAATAAACTTGAAACATGGTAGGGCAGCACTCCTGGTACAAGACTTTCACATGGTTGTGCAAGGAGACTTGCCACAATTCAGGGGCCACCACAAAATCATTCGTGATGGCCGACATGGCGATGGACAAATCAATTGTGAAATTTTCAGTGACAATGACACTGACAGGTGACCGTCTTGAGAGGTGGTGGCAATGGCAATTAGTGACATGACATGTCAGATCTTGACAAATGACAGTTGATACTTCATACCACTGAGGGCACCCACTGCAGGCTTGCTCGTTCGACCTGAGTTCACAAGGCTGTTGCAACTAGTTGCAACCTGTCTATTTCTGGGAATCTGAAGTTAACCTGAAAAATAGACAGGTAACTCTGAGTTGCCGGTGGTCTGGAGGGTTACATCAATTCATTTTCAGGCATGTTATCTCCAAAATAAATTGACTTGACCCCCAACCTGAGTTCACAAGGCTGTTGCAACTAGTTGCAACCTGTCTATTTCTGGGAATCTGAAGTTAACCTGAAAAATAGACAGGTAACTCTGAGTTGCCGGTGGTCTGGAGGGTTACATCAATTCATTTTCAGGCATGTTATCTCCAAAATAAATTGACTTGACCCCCAACCTGAGTTCACAAGGCTGCTGTTGCAACCTGTCTATTTCTGGGAATCTGAAGTTAACCTGAAAAATAGACAGGCAACTCTGAGTTGCCGGTGGTCATGGAGGGTTACATCAATTCATTTTCAGGCATGTTATCTCAAAAATATATTGACTTGACCCCCCATGACACCAGGCAACTCTGAGTTGCCTGTCTAAATCTTTGGATGACAGCCCAACCCCAAAAATAGACAGGTTGCCTGGACCTTGCCCAAATATATACTACATGTCTGAGGCAACTCCCAGTTGCCGGGGATCTGGAAACTTTCACTTTGAAACAAGCTTCATTTCTGAGGCAACTCCCAGTTACCGAGGATCTGGGACAGACACACACACACACACTCCAAAACATGCCCATTTCTGAGGCAACTCCCAGTTGCCGAGGATCTGGGACACAAAACATGCCCATTTCTGAGGCAACTCCCAGTTACCGAGGATGGGGACACAAAACATGCCCATATCTTAGGCAACTCCCAGTTGCCGAGGATCTGGGACACAAAACATGCCCATTTCTTAGGCAACTCCCAGTTACCGAGGATCTGGGATTTGGGAAAACCAAGGAGTAACCGAGGATCTGGGATTTGGGGTAACCGAGGATCTGGGATTTGAGGGGATCTGGGACACAAAACATGCCCATATCTTAGGCAACTCCCAGTTACCGAGGATCTGGGACACAAAACATGCCCATAGTTACCGAGGATCTGGGATCTGGGAAAACCAAGGAGTAACCGAGGATCTGGGATTTGGGGTAACCGAGGATCTGGGATTTGAGGGGATCTGGGACACAAAACATGCCCATATCTTAGGCAACTCCCAGTTACCGAGGATCTGGGACACAAAACCTGCCCAACTAGTTACCGAGGATCTGGGATTTGGGTAACCAAGGAGTAACCGAGGATCTGGGATTTGGGGTAACCGAGGATCTGGGATTTGAGGGGATCTGGGACACAAAACATGCCCATATCTTAGGCAACTCCCAGTTACCGAGGATCTGGGACACAAAATGGGCCCATAGTTATGCTCATAGTTACCGAGGATCTGGGATTTGAGAAAACCGAGGAGTAACCGAGGATCTGGGATTTGGGAAAACCGAGGAGTAACCGAGGATCTGGGACACAAAACATGCCCATAGTTACCGAGGATCTGGGATTTGGAAAACCGAGGAGTAACCGAGGATCTGGGATTTGGGAAAACCGAGGAGTAACCGAGGATCTGGGATTTGGGGTAACCGAGGATCTGGGATTTGGGGTAACCGAGGATCTGGGATTTGGGCTAACCGAGGATCTGGGTTTTGGGGCAACCGAGGACTTGGGATTTTGACACACACTTCAACTTCAAACATGCCCATTCCTGAGGCAACTCCCAGTTACCGAGGATCTGGGATTTGGGGCAACCAAGGATCTGGGATTTGGGGTAACCGAGGATCTGGGATTTGGGGTAACCGAGGATCTGGGATTTGGGTCAACCGAGGATCTGGGATTTGGGCCAACCTGGGATTTGGGAGCAACCGTAGTTGTCAAAGATCTCTTGAAGAATTAATGTTCTGCAACACTTTGCCTCCAAGATCTCTAGTTTTTCAAATATTGGCATTTATGTTGTTTGAGAACTAGTGCTGCAGAACATTACTTCCCAGTCAGTTACACGACAAGTGACTTAAACGACAAGTAACTTAAACTTTCAAAGTTGGACACCTGTCATGTCAAGAACTTTCTCAATAATCAGCAGCCAGGTTCAGGAACAGGCAGTACTGAACAAGCTAAGTGATTCCCTTAGAAGTCAGTGCCAGAAAATTGGGGTAATAGTTTAAAAGTGAAGCTGTTACTAACCCATCTTTCAATTGGTAGTAAAAGACACAAAATCATAGGACTGGATGGTTTTTCAACACCCATCACTGAAGGTCTCGACACAGAGAAAAGTTGTGTATGTAAATATATGTATGTATACAATATCTAGATTCAATGACGTGGGGCTTCCCAAGGATGACTTGGGACTCATGCGTCTGGACATCTTGTATAATCATCCAACCCCTTCTGCAACGCGCTTTGTAAGAATCCCATTTCACTATCTATCTATCTATCTATCTATCTATCTATCTCTCTATCTCTCTCATTATCTTTCTATTTATCTATCGTTCTACCTACCTAACTAATCTGTGGATCTGTCTATCTATCTATCTATCTGTTTGATCTATCTATCTATCTATCTATTATCTATCTACCTATCTATCTATCTATCATCCATCCATCTATCTATCTATCTATCTAGCTTCTTTAAAATCTAAAAGTTACATCAAATTTGGGCATTTTCATTGCCAATCTATCTATCTACCTATCTGTCTATCTATCTACCTATCTGTCTCTCTATCAATGTAATACCTTTCTTTCTTTCTATTGATCTATCTTTCAATCTATTTATCTAATATCGTGCTTTCTTCCTTCCTTTCATTCTTCCTTCCTTTATTTTCTTCTTTCTTGCTGTTTATCTATCTATCGTTGTAAATTTCCTCTTGGTTTGGGTTTTGCAAAAAAAAACTCAAGTCTGTGAGAACCGATTTCTTTCTTGTGTTTGGGCTTCCAACTTTGGCACTCCCAAGGCAATTTGGACAACTCTTTGCAGTTGAAATCTATATATTTTTGTATGACATCAATAGGTCCGCAATGTTTCTATGGTTTGACTTCCGTTTGTATGGTTTGTCTTTCTCACTCCCAGGAATTACCCAGCAGTTTTTGGACTACCACCCAAGGTCCCCAGTGCAGCTGAGACCTTTATTTATCTACCAACTTGTTTTCTCGCTACCTGGTTTTCTACTTATCTATCTACCTATCTATCCATCTACCAATTTATCTACTATATTTCTATTCTTTCGACATGTTTGTCTATCTACTCATCTGTGTATCTACTTATCTGTTTACTTATTTGTCTATCTATCTGTCTATTCATCTGTCTACCTATTTGTCTTGCTACCTATTTATCTATCTATCCATGTACCTACCTACCTGACTAATCTATCTATCTATCTGTCTATCAATCTATCTATCTATCTACCTATCTATCTATCTATCTATCTTTTTATCTATCTTTCTTTCTGTCTATCAATCTATCTATCTACCTATCTATCTATCTATCTATTTATCTATCTACCTACCTATCTACCTATCTACCTATCTACCTATCTACCTATCTATCTATCTATTTTCAATAGGTGTATTAAATGTCTATTTATATTATTTATATATATATATATATATTTATATATATATATATTTATATATATATTTCTTTATTTACATATATATATTAACATTTAATTATATATATACACACTGTGCACATCATTGAATCTGAACTGATGGCATTTGCACAAGAAACTTTTTCAGTGTGCAAAACCATGCAACACCTGATACTGAATCTGAGTTTCGGGCAGTGAATTAGTGGAGGTTCGGTTGAAGGTAGCACATGACTCGGTAGCACATGAGGCTCATTGTCATGAGATCTCTGAATAAAAACAAAACAAAAACAAGAGAATCAAGCTCAAGTTCAAGTCAAGTCAACCCATTAGAAAGCAGACAGCTGATGTAAAGAGAAGATGTCGTGGAGACAACTGCATCACTTCGACAGTGGATCTGAGAGCAGGACATGCTCATCTGGAAAAAAATGCCTCCCACAGGAATCGCCAAAAAACGACATGACATCAACATGCAATCTACCAAAGACTGGCAAAGAGTGCAATCTACAGAAGCACAAAGTAGAGCAGCACACAACACCCACAATTTTTCTTCCTCAACGCCTACGCTTTGGGTGCTCTTGCCCTGTTGATGCCGTCCAATGTTGGGCAGTCAACAGCTTCATCTTCTCACGGCAATGGGCAATGATGGCAGCGTCGGCCGAACCCCACCTGACAGGAGACATTGGCAGTGACAGGAGACAGCAAACAGTTGACAGTAGACACCATTACTCTGACATTATGGCTTTGACAGCAGCTGCACCTCTTTTTATCCGGATCAGCTTCACCTGTCACATGTTCAAAACTTGTCATGCAACGCCACCTGTCACCTGTCACATGTTCAAAACTTGTCATGCAACACCACCTGTCACCTGTCACATGTTGAAAACTTGTCATGCAATGTCACCTGTTACACTCAACATCACCTGTCAAATTGCAGACGGGTGGCGTTGGAGGGCATTCAGGATTGCCAGCGCGAACTTGCGGCCATCATCGGAGAAAGTTGCCAGGCCCAGCATAGCCTAAGAACTTGGGCTGAACATGAATGATAGGTCTTGTGGAAAGCACCTGTCACATTGTAAGAGTACACCCAAGAAACAAATAGACAAGCTTCAATAAGTTTTTCAATATGTTTTTCAAGTATGTTGTTCTTCCAAGGAGCCACGTACGATGCCTCTTCCACCGGCAGATTCTTCAGGGCAAAGTACACCGGCGCGCAAGCTGCTTGCAACTGTTTCTGCAGTTCATCTGCGCCAGGGGGCCAAACAAACCAAACAAACAGATCTCCAGAAGAAACCAAACAAACCAAACAAACTTGCCTGGGATTGCAGGCTTGGCATCTGCCGGATTTGCAGCTGATGATCGATTTGCTGCATCTGCTGCTGCTGCATCTGCTGCTGCTGCATCTGGTGCTGCTGCATCAAGTGCTCCTGCTGCTTCCTGGGCGGCCTCAGCTTCTGAGCAAATTTCAAACTACTTTGGTCGAAGATCATAGTAGCTATATCATTATCATGAAAACTATGCTGTAGCTTGGGTTGAAGATCGTAGTCTTTGCTCTAAAATCATCATCACCTCCATCATCCAAGAAAGATTGGAGCAAGTAATGACAGAAGACAGTAATTGAATGGAACATGTGCTGGCCTTCAAAGAATAAAGAGTAATCGGAAGTTGGGGTGTCAAAGGCATTATATAGAAGCCACATATAGTGATCAGGGACACAAGCAATGAATGTGTAAAGTTCCTATTTCAGCCAAGTTGCCTTCAGGATCTTAATGCATTTCGGGCTCAAAGTACCCTCTTTCACTTCCCATGGCTCTGATGACAACCTCAGTCAATGTGAAACCACATGTCTCAATCAATGTCAACTGTCTCAACCCAACAATTGAAACATGTCAACATGTGAAACCTCATGTCAACTGTCTCAGTCATGTCTCAACCAAAAAAAGCCCTGCCAAGAAACGTGTGGTAAGATGGCAAGAAGACAAGCTCATCCAACATGAAGGCTGCCAGCAATGCCACCATAGCAGACCGATGCTTGCCAGCTGAACCTAAGTGTGAAAATGCATAAGGCTGACATGTGACAGGTGACATGTGAAGGAAATTACCTAAGGACATCTTATTGGATCAGTATCCCATACAATCCAGTCACATCATCATGTTTGATTTTGAAACCATTGTTTTACACAAACACATGCAGTTCCCATGCAGGCAAAGTGGCACGTCAGGAGGAAGACCACCCACGTCATCTTGTGGTGGTACTTCAGGAGCTTCGCGCACTCCACCACATAGAGCGCGCACGCAATGATCTCCTTCTGCTCCATCAGCATGTCTTGAACCTGCAGGAATAGTTTGAATAACAAAATGAACTTCATGGCACACAAAATGAACTTCATGCCACACATGTCAGATAAAAAAAATCTGCACCTCACCATCCAAGATCTGCCCCCCTCGCTTCACAGACTTGGCTGGGTTGTTCCTCGCGAATCCACGGACCTTAGAGGAATCAGGGAACAGTCTGTGACAATGAATGCACATCAATGCACATCAAATGAACAATCTGTGACAATGAACATGTAAGGCAATGCCAAGTCACATCAAGTGACTGATGCAAATAGCCCCTGAACTTGCTGTTCAAAACGTCGCCCATGATCTCTCGTCCCAGACCTCAATGAATCAGATGGAAGGTGACAAAAAGTATCAGTGCTGTAGTGAAAAGAAGTCAGTGGAAAACAGCAGCAGAAATACCAATCAGGCTATGACGTGTCTGTCGGCGCCACACGTACTCCTCTTCAGCACCCATTGCCAGAAAAACCATGTGCCCAGTCCCAGCCATGGCTGCAAAATGAGACAGGTGACAGATGACAGATGATAGGTGACAAGTGAGGGTTTCACATACTTTTTACTGCAGCCAAACATGTGACCATAAGTTTTCAGTTGATATTGTTGATATATTTTTTACTTCAAGGTTTGCAGTCAATTGATCTGTCTCAACTGTCTCAACTGTGAAAATAAGCATGGAAGCTTTCATCGATTGGCATTGCTTTATATAGTTGACTTATTTTGTACATGATGTCATGGTTCTTCAGCTGCTGCTGACATGTAGATGGCACATGTGGTGATATGAATTGAAATGAGACAGTGAACGTGCTTGGAACTCAACATCCGCTTGCCCGCTCCCACTCGTGAGTGCCCTGCAGAACTGCAGAATGGAGTGATTTTTTTAGCCACATGGGATTTCGATGGCATTTTCAATGCCGGTCTTCAAGCTCAAGAAGACAAGACTAAGACTAGCCTTAGGCTGAAAAAGTCAAGGTCCAAACCTTCGATTAATTACTTGTCGAAGTCACCTGTCATGGGATTTCGAAGTCACCTGTCACCAACTTCAACGTTCAGAAGTCGCATTCCATCCATCCCAAGGCTCCGAAGTCATTGCCATGGGCTCCAAATAGATCCGAAGTCCATGGGTTCGACGTCGGTCTGGCCACCTCTCGAAGTCCATCGGTTCGATGTCGATCCCATCGTAGTCACCTTTTCCTGATGCCAAGGCTCCCAAGTAGATCCATTGGTCGTAGTCCATGGGTCCGATGGGTCAGGATTCGAAGTCCATGGGTCCGATGTCGATCCGGTCGTAGTCACCTCTTCCTGATACCTTCGAGACCAAGGCCTAGAAGTCAGGGCCAACTGGTTGACTGTGACTGTGGACAGGTGACAGGTGAGCAAATCCTCAATCCCTTGGATCCCTGGAGCCAGTCGTGAACTCCTCAATCTATCCACGAATGCTTCACGGATCTTCAGCAACTCTTCCAAACTCTCGAGCGTTTTCAAGCCCGTTGGGAGCTGCAAGAACCATCCTGTATGGATCAACTTGCAAATCGTCTGTGTTAATGACTTCACAAAGGTCTTTGACTCGAGCCAACACTGAGATGTTGTGGCACGCCACAGCCAAACTTCGAGAACCCGATGCCTCACATCGTGAGACAGGTAGCGAAGCTGTGGGCACACAAGGGCCATAGCAAATGCGGGTGAGGCCGTCCCCCAGTTCTGAGGGTATCCCAACTCATGGAAGTCCAAATGCCTATCGTTCCTTTGTTTCTTGAAATACACCTCAGGATCTTCCGCGTAGTAGGTGCTGATGATGTTGCCAGCCGTTTTCAGATAGGGGCTGAGGAGTTGCCACCACAAGTGGTTGACTAACGTCAAAGCTGGTGCCTCATCGGTTGGCTCTGGGTTCCCAACCTCCAAGCATTCGGCCCATCCACCCACCATTGCAACAAACAAAGCTTGGGTTGCAACCACGCAAGTCAAAAACAACAGCGGGCTTTGAAACAAAATTGCTGCACAAACAAAAAACATATCGTTGTGTATGTGGTGGCATTGCTGCAATCATTGCAATTCAATTCCACTTGAAACACAATTCACCATTCGAACCCACATGAAATTCTCACAGAAAGTGCCTGGCATCAAAGGCAGGTAAAGGCGAAGGATCCAGCCTAAGCAGATTTGCCGGGCAGACCCTGACACAATGAAAATGACGTCACATCATCATATCATCATCATCATCATCATCATCACAGCCATCAACCGTGGCACCCATTGCATTTGGCCAAGATAAACTGGCATGACATGCAAAAAAACATTGACACCGCAAGCAATGAGGTGCTGGCAAAAGTTCCCAGGCTCAACCTTGGCAGCCAAGTGGTTTTGGGCAACAAGAAACTGACAGGTGACAGAAGACAGGTGACAGAAGACAGGTGACAGAAGACATGGTTCACTTGTCATTCAAAAAATCAACATAAACAATGCAAGCAAATAGAACTAAGACGCTGGCAAAGTTTACGTGGCTCAACCTTGGCTTTTCGGTCAACATGAAGTTCAAAGAAGACTTCAAAATTTGTCAAACTACTTGCATTGATTGTCAACATGCTGATTCAAATTACTTGCATTGTGCAAATCAAACCTTTTCTGCTCCATCTAAAGGGAAAATTGTACTACGGGAGGCCTCTCACGGGGACTCACGGGGCTTGAAGCCACACCAGCCACTGTTGGGCTTTTCCTCCTGACACACAGGGGCCCAAGAAAATTCACATAATGCTGATGCATGCCAATGACTTGAACATGGGAAAAACTGTTGATGCATGCCAATGACTTCAGCATGGACAGGTGACAGATGACAAATGACAGGTGACAGGTGACTTCAAAAATGCTGATGCGCGCCTCTGGATTGTCCTTCAGTACCTGGCATCACGTTCAAGCTTCAATGACATCAATGAGCTTCAAACTTCACGTGCATCAACTTCAGCTTCAAGTTCAAGCTTCAAACTTCCAGGTGCCTTAAGCATGAAGCGCATGAAGTGAATGTCCATTGTCTCTTCCAGGACCTGTCACTCATGCCATCATGTGACCATCATGTGAGCACCATGTGACCTGCATGTTATCACCCCATGCCTCCAATGGCTTCTTATGGGCCTTTGCTTTGGGTCGAGCCTGAAAAACTACGAAGGCCAACTCAAAAATCACACTTGAAAATCATGATCTCAAATGAAATCATCGAAATCATGATCTGAGATCTGAACACGATAGATCTTTTCCATGAAGAACGGAGGTGGTGGTGACATCTTCTGGGCCAAGCAAATGACAATGCTAATGTATTCAAACCGCTTGCTAATTGGATTCAAACTTCCTAAAGGTAAATGTACCAAATACTGCAGCACACATAGGCTTGGATGAGCTCTGGACATCGACCCGGCGCTGCTTGCGATCTCCCTGGAATCGAAGAAAAAAGTGTCTTACATCCATCAAACACTACAGCACAGTGACAGTCACTGCAGAAATCCTGCCTCATAATGGCTCGACGCCGACGTGGACCGTGAGTCCTGGCGATGTTCGAAATCCATGAATCATGTTCGAACAGTTTTCGAGCATCGTTTTTCGGTTTTCAACAAATAAAGATACTTGTTTTGGTAATTTTCCCGTTGGTTTGGCACTGCGAAAAGGGGTTAAAAAGGGTGACTTTTTGCGCCCAAAAAGGGTCCCAAAAACAGGACAAAAAGTCGCCCCCTAAAATCCCAAACCAAACCGAAAATTACAGAAATGCCAGATCTAAGGTCTCCTGGGACAGGCTGCGCTTGGCCATTGGTGACAGGCGACGACAGGCGACGAGATCGAATGACAGACGACTGGAGCCAAATGAAGGATCCAAATGAATCAACCCTTCACAAAATGCAACACTGCAGAATACTTGCCTGCAAATCTTTCTAAAATAAATGCATTACAACTTTGATGTTGCAGCAGCGAAATGATTCCCAAAACCCAAGCCCCACACCAATCCATGATGAATCATGGCGTTGATGTTCGGAATCCTGCCACTGAAAGTCACCAAGGGAAACTGCACACAGCTGGCAAGTTGCAGTCAATGATGATGAAGTAAACTGCATTGCTTGCTTATGGAAGTCCTTGTCTGCTCCCATCTTGGCCACATCCTGACTTGAAACTCTTCCCCAAACACCAAGCGACAAGTCCAAGGGACATGAAAAACGTCTTCACTGAGACAAGCACTCCTCAGGATCACCTGCAAGAAAAAATGATCATACATGGAACTTGAAATCAGCTGCATAGACTCTTTGATAGACAGGTGACTGGTGACTTTCATGGACAGGTGACTGATGACAGCTTGTGGAACAAACTCTGAGATTCAAGCCGAGCCTGTGATGTTCGCACCTGGCAAAAATTTCCAACATAAATTGCATGACAAAATCTTAAATCTTGCAAGGTGACCGGAATGACAAGAAAGAAAGCTAAAAGACAGGTCACTGAAGTCAATCAAGCTGCAGACTGGGTAGTTCAGCACCTGCATGCAGGATCCAAATGAATCAACCCTTCACAAAATGCAACACTGCAGAATACTTGCCTGCAAATCTTTCCAAAATAAATACATTACAGCTTTGATGTTGCAACAGTGAAATGATTCCCAAAACCCAAGCCCCACACCAATCCATGATGAATCATGACGTTGATGTTCGGAATCCTGCCACTGAAAGTCACCAAGGGAAACTGCACACAGCTGGCAAGTTGCAGTCAATGATGATGAAGTAAACTGCATTGCTTGCTTACGGAAGTCCTTGTCTGCTCCCTTGGCCACATCCTGACTTGAAACTCTTCCCCAAACACCAAGTGACAAGTCCAAGGGACATGAAAAACGTCTTCACTGAGACAAGCACTCCTCAGGATCACCTGCAAGAAAAAATGATCAGACATTGAAATTGAAATCAGCTGCAAAGACTCTTTGATAGACAGGTGACTGATGACAGCTTGTGGAACAAACTCTGGGATTCAAGCCGAGCCTTGCCAGTGATGCTTGTACCTGGAAAAAAATCAATCCAAATCTGGAAAATCTTGCATCTTAGTATGATAAGCTGACTATGTCCAACTACAGGTCAATCATTTGAATCACAAGATCTGGCTCAGACTTGTTTTCAAAGCCCGCGCAAATGCAAATGTCAATTGTCAAACATAACTACCTGCAACTTCATTGTCTGGTTGTCCCTCGTGATCACTCCGAACTTGAACTCATCTGGGAACAACGGGGTGATGACCGTCAGCCTTCCCTGAGCCTGGTCTTCGAAAACCCCTGTGCCCAATGCCAATCGCATCCGTTCCGCGAAAGCAGCGTCTGAGCTCAGTGGTGTGATCCTGAAACAAGACTCAAGGTGCATCAAATTTTTGTTGGAACTTAGACTCAAACATCTACAAAGTTTGAATTTAATTTCAACTCAGGCTCGTCTCCAACTGCACATCCTCAGGTTTGAAGGAAGGAAACCACTGGTTCATCTCATCACTGCTCATCAATGGACTCTTCCACATCTTCATGAATGGCTTCTGTGACCGCGACATTGGGTGCGACATTGGGACAGATGACAGGTGACAGATGACAGGTGACAAATGGCCTATATAGATCTTCTCAATGGCTGCGTGGCAAATTCAAATGCAACATCCAAAAACATTCATAAACAAAACATCCAACATCTCAAACATCCAAAACATCAAATGACAGTGACAAACTTGGCATCGGAATCAAAGCTGCTGGGTCACGTGACCATAATGCATTAACCTAAGTTCAGAGCAGGCCACTGACACAAAACAGATTCAGAATGGTCATGGGAAGGTTGAAACTGCATGAGTTTGACTTGTAATTTTCTTCTTGGGGGGGGATGGCACTTTTTCCCATGAGGGGGATGTTAAATTTAAAAGGGCATCCTCTCTGGGCATTGCTGAGCCAGCTACGTCGCATGAGGATGGCTGATTCTCCTGTGAAGCCATCCTAGCAGTGGCTTGGCCAACAAATATGGTGAAGTGATGGCATCACTGTCTATCATTTTTTGTGGCATTGTGACATGAATTCATAAAAACAAATGCTTTGCTGAAGTAACATTCTGTGGTATCGTTTTGTTTCTTATTGTAAATGCCCACAGCTGCATCCCCTCAGACTGAAATGACAATCACTTCCTTTTTTCCAAATGGTGCTCTTGGGCGCTGGCCTTGCCCAAAGAAGTCTGCATCACCAATGGCAGGGCCAACATAGCAGGCCAAAAAGCAGGAGTCAGGAGATGGCTTTCCTTTTAAACATTTTAGGTTACAGTGAGTGGCTTTCCACTGACATAGAATATAGGTGGATGACAGGTGACAGGTGAGTTTCTAATGTAACAAGTTGTGGCAGTAAGTGACAGGCGACTTTCCATTAGTATCATGTGGGCTAACATTGACTGATGGTTTGCCATTAAGAAGTAGTAGGTGCAAAAGGTAGCAGGTGAAGCAATTACAGGTGATCATTGGAACAGTTTGAAGTGACTTTCCATGATTAAAGTTTTCCTGAAACCATTGTATTTGTTTCAAATGCTGCATCAAAAAGAACTATCAAGAGACTTGTTGAATTTCACAACAAACTATCTTAATGCATCATTTGCCTTCTGGCCAATATAAAATATGACAAGTTGACAGGTAAACCACGTGCTTGACTTTGAGTTTGTGAAGTTCATGCCACATGTTGAAAGTCTGATGTAAAAAAAGGGAGGAAGATGTGTGTGCAAAAAACAGAAGCATGTGTGAATGCAAGTGTGAATTTGCTAGGTTGCGCATACATGTCCATTGTACCGGAAATCAAATTCAATACCTTCATGTCACTTCCTACTTCTTCTTGTGGCTGTTTTGGGGTATGGAGACTTAAAAACATACACATATAAATATATATTTGCATATTCAGCATTGATATATATATATATATATATATATATGTATATTTATATTTTCATATAAATATAATATATCATATATATATATATATTTATATATATTATAAATTATATCATATATATACATATATATATAATTATTTATTTTATATCATGTATATACATATATATTATACATATTTATATATTTACATAAATATAACTATTTTCCAAATATATATATACATACATTTATATATTTATTTATTTATATGTATAACTATATATTGTGTGTACTGACAGGGAAACAATAGGTGGTAGGTGACTTGGTATAATACTTGTGTGTGGGGAATGCCAGAACTATTTACGTTGCCATACACATTTGTTAGGTAGTAAGTACATTCAAAATCCTCTATATTGTAGATATCTTTTGCATAGTCCTTGTGTAGAGCTTACCATCCATGGTAGAAATCTTTACATGGTCCTTGCACAAAGCTTGCCATCTTACCATCCAATCCATGGTAGAGTTTTTTTTTAACCAGAGTCCTTGCATAGAGCAAATCCATTGTAGAGATCTTTTGCAGAGTCCTTGCATAGAGCTAACCATCCATGGTAGAAATCTTTACATGGTCCTTGCACAAAGCTTGCCATCTTACCATCCAATCCATGGTAGGTTTTAAAAAAAAAAAAACAGTCCTTGCATAGAGCAAATCCATTGTAGAGATCTTTTGCAGAATCCTTGCATAGAGCTTTCCATACGTCACTTTAACCTCTGATGGCATTAAATACTTGCACCACTTGAAATGAAGACCCAGTCTGGCATTTGCAAGGGCATCTCGGCTGGAACTTTCCATACGGCTGATAACTTCCTGATGGCCGAAGTAGCACCGTAATAATAGGAGCTTTTGGCATGCCAGGGCCACAGTGAAAGCACCAAATGCAAATGAAATACCCAAATGCCCTGGCACTGGCTTCACTGCAAGGCGGAAATGCGCAGGTAATGCACCAAGTCCCTGGAGTTGCATTTGCGTGCAAGGGGCGAGAACAGTTTGCGCAGGTCTTGGGTGCCCGCTCTTGCTTAGCTACGCAGCTGCGGCACACTCCGGTCTGGGATTCTGCACTGTAGTTCACAAGGTGGGACACACTGATGGCTTTGTTGCAATTACAGCACAAGCCTTGTTTTGCAGTTGCTGTCACTGGGGCGACTGCACACTTCTTGCAGCGTGCTCTTCGGAGTTCTTTGGTTCTTTTTCTCCGACTGATCTCTTCGGGGCTAAAATCTAGCAGGCTTTTTGTTTTGATTTTCTTCCCGATATCACACTTGCTGCACGCTAAGCGAATTTTGGCACACTTCGAACAGTAGCCGGTCTGGTCGGCTGGCAAGGTCTGGCAATATGCGCATGCATTCACCTCCTTAGCCTTCCTCTTGGTTGCAGGGCTGCTCTGCTTCGTTTTACATTGGGTGCATAAGCGACACATGCCTTCTGACAAGACTCGGAACCATTCCTCTTGGTCCCAGGCCGAAACAAATTCTCGAAGTGGCAAAAGTTTTTCCTGTAGGTGCGGTTGTGGGCTGCAACCGCGGCAAAACAACAGGATGTCACGATTCTTCTGCTTGTTCGGCTTATCTTTTTCAAAGCGAGCTTTTGCTTCTGGCAGAGTGAGGTTTTCCCGATGCACTTCTAAGAATGTGTGGAGAAAGGTTGGACTATACACAAATCTTCGCTTTTTCGGACTCTTGATAGGCACATGTACCCGCTGAGTTGTGCCTCGCGGGAGGTCGTGGCATCCCACGTGCCAAGGTCCAATGTGCATGCACCGAGGGTTGCCCCCATAAACGAATGCGCCGTGCCAGCGTAATGTTGCGTCCTGATTAGTGTGTGCATCCCACGTGCCAAGGTCCAATGTGCATGCACCGAGGGTTGCCCCCATAAACGAATGCGCCGTGCCAGCGTAATGTTGCGTCCTGATTAGTGTGTGCCCCCCCCCCCTCCCCTAAACTATTTCTGGACTCTCTTTAAAGTAGAAAAGCAAAAAAATTCTTCCCAAAAGAAAAACATATCCTCGATTAAGTAAGGATTTCAATTGGCTACAATCGAAATCTAATTAAGATTGTTTTTTTTGCCGATGAAGTTGTGGTATTTGTAATACTTGTAGACTTGTAGTACTTGTAGTACATGTAGTACTTGTAGTACTTTTAGTACTCGTAGTACTTGTAGTACTTGTAGTACTTGTAGTACTTGTAGTACTTGTAGTACTTGTAGTACTTGTAGTACTTGTAGTACTTGTAGTACTTGTAGTACTTGTAGTACTTGTAGTTTGAATTTGGCAATTGCCTTTGGAAAAGGCTTGCTTCTCTTCTGGGCTTCTAGGAGCTGCTCTGGCACAGCTTGCTGCAATAGTGAACCCAGCAAACAAACCTACTAAAGTGAAATGGAGCCTCTCCTGGTCCAGGGTTTTGGAAAATTGTGGAAAAGCTGTTCTTTAATAAGGGTTTAATAAGGGATTTGTTCTTTTGGGAAAGGCTTGGAGTTTGAATTTGGCAATTTTGGAAAAGGCTTGCTTCCCTTCTGGGCTTCCAAGGGCTGCTCTGGCACAGCTTGCTGCAATAGTGAACCCAGCAAACAAACCTACTAAAGTGAAATGGAGCCTCTCCTGATCCAGGGCCTTGGAAAATTGTGGAAAAGCTGTTCTTTAATAAGGGTTTAATAAGGGATTGGCTCCTTTGGGAAAGGCTTGGAGTTTGAATTTGGCAATTTTGGAAAAGGCTTGCTTCTCTTCTGGGCTTCCAGGAGCTGCTCTGGCACAGCTTGCTGCAATAGTGAACCCAGCAAACAAACCTACTAAAGAGAAATGGAGCCTCTACTGGTCCAGGGCCTTGGAAAATTGTGGGAAAGCTGTTCTTTAATAAGGGTTTAATAAGGGATTGGCTCCTTTGGGAAAGGCTTGGGGTTTGAATTTGGCAATTGCCTTTGGAAAAGGCTTGCTTCTCTTCTGGGCTTCCAGGGGCTGCTCTGGCACAGCTTGCTGCAATAGTGAGCCCAGTCAACAAACCTACTAAAGTGAAATGGAGCCTCTCCTGGTCCAGGGCCTTGGAAAATTGTGGAAAAGCTGTTCTTTAATAAGGGTTTAATAAGGGATTGGCTCCTTTGGGAAAGCCTTGGAGTTTGAATTTGGCAATTGCCTTTGGAAAAGGCTTGCTTCTCTTCTGGGCTTCCAGGGGCTGCTCTGGCACAGCTTGCTGCAATAGTGAACCCAGCAAACAAACCTACTAAAGTGAAATGGAGCCTCTCCTGGTCCAGGGCCTTGGAAAATTGTTGAAAAGCTGTTCTTTAATAAGGGTTTAATAAGGGATTGGCTCCTTTGGGAAAGCCTTGGAGTTTGAATTTGGCAATTGTCTTTGGAAAAGGCTTGCTTCTCTTCTAGGCTTCCAGGGGCTGCTCTGGCACAGCTTGCTGCAATAGTGAACCCAGCAAACAAACCTACTAAAGTGAAATGGGGCCTCTACTGGTCCAGGGCCTTGGAAAATTGTGGGAAAGCTGTTCTTTAATAAGGGTTGAATAAGCGATTGGTTCTTTTGGGAAAGGCTTGCAGTTTGAATTTGGCAATTTTGGAAATGGCTTGCTTCCCTTCTTCAGGGGCTGCTCTGGCACAGCTTGCTGCAATAGTGAACCCAGCAAACAAACCTACTCAGATAGAGATGCATTTACAGGCTCAGATAGGGAGATGAGCAAAAAATTGACTGAGCTACAGCGTTTTTGAGAAAAAATGCCTCTCAGCAATTACAGTTTTTTTTGCAAAAAAATGGGCTCTCCCAATTTTGTTTTGCCACAAAAGCGAACCCTCCAAACAATACATGAGTTTCAGAATAATTTGGAAAAAATTTGCCACAATAGCGACCCTAGGTACTAATCAGGACTCAACATTAATCGGAGGCTATTGGAAAGCCACGTCGAGAGACTGTAGCTTTGCCGTTCGTTTCCAGCGTCCACGTCTGGGTGACGGGTTCAATCCGAACGACGCCAACCGGCAGGTCTGGATGTTGTTGCCAGTTTGCCCCGGCCACTCTGACATACAATGCCAGTGGAAGACGTTGTAGCACGATGTCTCGGCCTTCTGCGGTTTCGACGGCGTCTTTGTCGACATCGTGCAGTGTCCAATTCCAAAGGATGCCCCGGGTGTTTTTGAAGAGCCCGAACGCTTTAAGATCAGACAGGGTTTGCGTGACTCGGATTGGCATGTTGTGGAGAAGGGGCAAGATTCCGACGACTCCGCCGGTGGACTGGTCATGGCGCTGCAACCAATTTTCGCGCCGGGCTTGTAATTCCGTCGCCTCCACATGAAAAAGCGGGGTATCTTGAGCAATTATCCAAAGCAACTTGTGCTTGCGAGTGCTGGCGACCCATTTGGCACGCAGGTTGGCTGCAATGTACTTGGCGGCATTCAGCCCATGCACGAAAGGATGGTTGAGGAAGTGCTCGGCCTTTGGGTCTTTGCCTACGATGCATCGCCGTGCCCTTTCTTGGTGGCAAATGACACATTCCAACTGGTTGGGGGCGGTGGGTTGAAGATGTAGGTTGTTGCAAGTTTTTTCGCCGCAGGTGGCTTGATTGGTTTGAAAGGACCACGAGCCCGCATGGAGTGTAGGAAACCCGTGTAAGAAAGACCACACTTCCTGCGACATGTTTCCATGCCTCGCCTGGTGAAGAATTTGGCTGAGCCAGGCGTCCTCGCACCGCTGTTCGCGGGTGAGCTCAAACAGGTGTGGGATGGCGAGCGAGGTGTGCGACCAACAGATTTGCTGCAGTGCGTTGACTTGGAAGGTTGCGTTTGACTGGAAAGGGTTCTGGTAAATGGCTGTGGCTTTGACTGGCGGGAACTGCCACAAGTCCCCGGTCAAGATGAGGTTGCGCCCTCCGAATGGCCTCCGTTCTCCTCCTGGCCGAAGTTTCCACGTATCCCGATCTCTGGTAGACTGCTGCAGGCGTTTCTCCAGAGTGGCCAATATTTCGAACCCGACCGTCGAAGATTCATCCACCACCAGCCACCGTAGGCGTTGATACTTAGCGAACTGTTCCGGTGTGCCGGTGTTTTTTGCTCGGGCCGTTTTGGTTTTCACCTGGATATTGGCAAACGAGTGCAGCGTCATGCCAGCAATAAGTGCAGCTTGGGTGTTCTGCGGTGCCAAGTATACAAACTCTTGTTGATGCTGCCACCCACACAAATTTTCAAAAAAAGCACGCAACCACTTGAGAGTTTGAGTTTTGCCTGCACCTGGAACCCCGTGGAACACTGCACGCAAAGGCTCACTGCGGGAACTTTCGGCCTGTTCTTCTTGAGCCTCTGTGAGGCAGCGGTCGACGACAGCACGCAGGAATTTCAGTTGTTCGGCTGTGGGTTTACATGCTGACCGCGGCTCTGCATTTGCTGAGCGCGGTTCTGCACTGGCTGAGCGCTGCTCTGCGCTGCCTGCGGCTGGATCGACTGCCACCGAGCCCTGCTCTGCGAGACGCTGCAACCATGCTGTGGCAAACTCTGGCGTTAAGTTGTGGTAGGTCCAGCTCAGTGGTTCGGTCTCCGGCAACGGCGTCGGTTGCTGCCGTTTGCTTTGACTATGGTCAAGCTTTATGCCAGGTATTCCAGTGTTTACAAACCAAGAGTTTATTGCATCAACCTGCGGAGTAGCTTCCCATTCCTCAACTATGCGGCGTACCGCTGGACCTGACCGTTTCGAATATTCGAAGCCCACACCGCGGACAAGTTTATCGATGGTGTCGGAAGTTACCCAGGTCGTATCCACTTCATGGTCTGTTGGCTTGGCTGGTGTTTCGGCCAGGTCGACTTCTTCTGGATCACACTCCGTTGCGGACAGAAAGTTTCGAATAGTGCGAGCTGCATGTTCCGACACTACGTGGTGCTGGATGTATGCTCTCCATGCTACGTGATGACTTCTCGGACCCGGTGCGGTCTTGGTGAACAGGCGTCTACGGGGGTTGAGACTAGTACTTCTTATCTCTAAGTCTAAGGCACTGATGTGCGGGACATGCGGGGTAGCACTTTTCAGATCAAGTGTCCAGGGCCTCAGATAGACATTGAGGAGCCTGGCCTGTGCATCCTTGGACATGTCGGGCTTCGGCAACGGACAGGTCGTGGGGTATGGGATCAGCGGTTCGGTCCGTCTTTCCAGATAGTATTCCTGTGCTCGATTGCATCCATTGCACTGCGGTAGTCGGACCAGGTTGGCGGCGCGGCTATTTGGCAAGGGATGTTTCCAAATGTAGTCGCGGCCATATTGCCAGCCATCCACAGGTTTCCTGTCGGTGCCTTGCTTCCTCACCCAAACACTGAGCCCTTGTCCGTCTTCAGTTGCATTTTTGGTGGGCGGCTGTAATTTTTTTAGACTCCACCATTTGATAAACTCCCACGGAGACAAGTGAAACACCCGCTCGTCGGTTCCCCGCCACCCGTATACTTCGGAGGACTTCAATGTACTCTTGTGCGGGTTGGGGGGTTCCACTTTATGACGAATGTCTGTGACATGGTCTAATATACCAACCCACTCGATTCCTACAAACGGGACAACGGGAAAAGTCCGGATGCACTCGGCGGTCGTGGGATCGGTCATGTTGCTGAAGCCCGCAAGCATGAATTCTTCTGTGACTGGGCGTACTGAGCAACGAAATTCGAGATCCCCGAAGACTCTATGCACAACTTTACGGTAGTGTGCTGCCGCGTCATCTTTTGCGGATGCTTCTTCCAGGAAATGCAATTGCTTGGCCGCTTGTTGCAATTCTTTTCTCCCCAGCGGCTGCGGCTTCTGCAAATAGCCGGTGAAATATCTGGTGGACCGGCGGGCTGCTTGCGCCATCGCCCGTTGCAGTTTTGGGAGCATGTTCTTTGCCAAGCAGCCTCGGGTGCAGTCGGTGTCGTGGGTGTTCGCCGACAAGGGCACCCGGAAATTTATTGCGGTGTGTGAGTTGCCAAATAACATGAGGGCGAATGCATGCATGGTGCCTGACAACCAAGGATCGTCTCTTTTGTCTAAGACCATGCCCAGTGCATTCCGTCGCCCGGCAGTGCTCTGTGCAAATTTTCGTGCGTTCCCTCTGCAAATTACTCGAACCTTTTCGTTCAGCGCTTTTGGAAAATTGTGCTTACACTTGTTTGGCGCCCCCTTCTTTCTGCAACCGGCGATTGGCAACCGACACTTCTGCGCGACGTTCCACGGATGCCAGTGAAGCTGCTGATGGCTGATCTTGCTCTGTGCTGCTCGACGGTAGTGGTGGATGAAACGACTTGCGTCGGCCAATGCCTGCTTGGGTTCCACTGCGTTCAACCATGGACTGGCCGCTTTGTCTTCGGCAAGGAATTTGGGCCACTGACACAAAAAATCGTGGCTTGCTTTGCAGTTGTTCTGGGCCCAGTCTGCTTCAAGGTGGTCTTGCTGTTGCGTATGGTTTGCTAGGTCAAGATGGGATTCGGAGTGTGCCCATGTCAAGAATTGTTGCACGTCCTCGAATGTGATGGTGCTGTCATTCAGTTTGGCTGCAAGTTCACTCAAAGATTGTTGCCAAATGGACGCGATGTACACGTTGCAGTGGAAATGCGGTGTGGAATTGGCTTGGTATTCGATTGCTCCGCATAGGCCGCTGGCAATGCCAAGGATGCCCCCCGTCACGTGACACCCGTGTCCGCGTGCATCGCGGCAATCGCATGCTGGGCAACGAAAACACATGCGGATGCCAAGCAGTTTGGCGAAGATGCACCGCACCACGGTTTGGAAGCTGAGAACGACGGCCCACGGATCCCTCGCAGTGAGCTGTCTGCGAGTGTCGTATGGCGGCACGTCGATGGTCGCTTCTGCCGTCTCCCATAGCTTCGGGCGCTCGCGCGCTCCGTCGGCGGCTCCGCCAGGATCTGCGGCGCGATAGCGGCTGAATTTGATGCACAAGGTGTTATGACGGGTTGTGGGAGATATGGTGATGAAGAGGGGTTCTCCCATCTCAACCCTGGCCCCGAAGAGGAAACGTCCAATCCGACGTCGTACTTCAATCGTTCCAGGCATATGGCCTTGCATGCCTTTCACGTCCTGGAGCAATTCCTTTTCATCGGTTGTGAGGCCGCGGGCATAGGGGAGTTTGCGGGTGTCAAAGTGTATGGGTTTGGGCTTCCCACCTGCAGTGGTATATGTGCCGGATCTCAGCTTGTTGTAGAGGCCACGAGCCGCTTGGACCCACTTGAGCATAGGTGCCGGTGCAATGGCTTGCCGTTGTGACTTCCATTTCCGCCAAAGCGAGCCCTGCCACACCGAGTGCCATTTGAATGTCAATCGTCGCAGCCCGGGAATCAGATCCCATGAGTTACGAATTGAACTCTCAATGCGTCCGGCCAGGAGTTTCAAGTGTGCCAAGGGTTGCAAGTGCGGCGCATCTGCGGGCCTCCGTGGGCGCTCTTTGTGGGGGAAGTCCGGACCACTGACGGGTGCGGGGAGGCTGAAGGGAAAAGCCCTGGGGAGAAAGTCATTCTGCCACTGGTCCCAGAAGTTGTGCCCGGTTCGAATGGTGAGTGTGTCAGTCGCATTGCTCAATTGCAACAACATGTCGACGTCGGGGTCTTTCCACTCTGCACCCGTGTAATCTTGTGACAATACGTTGGGTCTCACACTGGCTACGAAGGATTCGCCATTCAAAGCTGGATCTGCGACTGACTCGGGCTGGCTTGCGTCTTCACTGGCACAAAAAAAAATCCTAGAATGGCTCGGACGAGCCGATGTGGCCTTTTCGTCGCTTTTGTCTGATGTGGTTGCCTGAGCGCTGCTCTGGCTTGTCACCTGCGGTGATGGGTCGTCGCCCGGCGAGGCATCCCGCTCAGGCTTTACCTGCACTAATGGAAACTTGCCGTGGCTAGGTGCTGACACTGTAACTTCTTGCTTCTGTGACGAGGCCGAGTCTGCTATGACTTCAGCTGTCACCTGAGGGCTGCCCTGATCTTTTCTCTCTGCTACCATCTGGCACATGCTCTGGGTTGGCATGTCGTGCAAGGTTGCGTTCTCATCGCTGTGGCTTGTATGCTGTGGAACCGTTTTGCTGTACACTTGGGTTGTCTCTTCGGATTGCAGGTGGGAAACGATCTTTGGGGATGCAGTTTTCACAAGAGACAACTTGAAATGTTGCACCTCAGACGCTGGCTGAAACGAGCTCTGGCCGCTCATGGTTGGGGCATCGGTCTCGTTATTTGCACTGGTTGCTTCTGAGTTCACATTAGCTGCTGCCTGAGCGCTGCTCTGGCGTCGCGCGCAGGGGTGCGCGCCGTTTGATGTCCCAGTCGGTGAAGGAGTTTCGTTCAAGTCGACTAGCGGCCTTGTTTCGTCCACCCCATAGGTCCAAGTCACACGTTGCGTCACTGCTGTTTTTGCCTCCTCTGCCGACAAGTACGACGCACACATTGGATGTTGCATGTCGATGAGGTGATGTAAGAGTGCACTGACGACCCAGGGTCGGATGCGTGCTCCTGCTACCCACTCGATTGCCTCATTGTATAACATGCCCTTCACATTGACTTGGAGGACATGTGGCGGGTGAGGCAACCTTTCCCAAGAGGTGTTCTGCCGAGTGTCGGGGGCCAATGCAGCGAGCACCTCTTCCCATGGAATGCTAAAGGAAGACACATTGCCTCGGATTGCGGTTCTGTGTTCGGGCCGATGCAAGTGCTCTTCTATCAAGTTGCCTCGGTCGGCTTCCAGGTAGTAATTGATGACGGAAGTCCAGACCGAGAAGCAGCTGCCGCTTCTATCCAACGCACTCTGTGGGTGTACAACAACTCTGTTGGGTATCCAAACCAATTGTCGTTTGCAAGGGCTTCTGGCACTGCACAGGCGTCCTGTTTACACATGTGTTCGAGGCAATTGCGACACAATGGCAGTTCACAAGCCTCACACAGTTGCAGCGCATTCTCGGCGCAAAGTCCGCAGCGGACATCTTCTGGGCAGCATATGAGTCGCATCCCGTTGCAGATGGTTGCTGGCAGTGTTCGAGTCCACTCGTGTGCTTCGAAACGATTGGTCACAGCAGCCAACGTAGCATATTGCGTCATGTACCTTTCCAGGTTCCAGTTTGCTTTGACCGCTTCTGGGGTCAGTGCATTGAATAACTGCTTGACAGATATGTAGGCAATCTCCCCTCCCATGCCTCCTGGACTGACTCGCGCGCAACAGGCGCAAATCAATGCTTGGCAAATGTTGTCGTCCAAATCGACCCGTAGTCGACGCAGTGTGCGCCGATCGACGCTCCAGCCAACTTGTGGGACCTGCCCACGTTCCCTTTCTAGCACTGCAGCTGTGTATGTTGAAGCCACAAGTTCACGAGGTATGTTCGTAAAGTGTTCAGCATGACACTCATCGAGGTGTGCCCACAAACACACCTCCCCGTTTCCACAGCACTGCAATGTAGTGTGTGCCCATGTTGTTGCTTTCATGTTCCACACCTTTTCCTTTGACCAGTGCGGGTGGCACGGTTGTGTGTCGGATGCCCACCCGCATCCCTCAAAGGCACAATGCACGGCTGGGTATACGAGACCACTATTAGGCTGCATGGTGGGGAATTCCGTCATCGCGGCTGGAGATGGCAGCAGAGGATGGTGTCGCAGTTGGAATGCTGTGCGTCGAATGCGTTCTTGGTCACGATCTTCGACCGTGACCCATGTCTTTGTCGCGTCCACTGCGACTGCTACTTCAGCCTCATCTGTGGTCTCGGACAGGTTTGAATCCCAGGAAAGCAAACTTTCAGAATCCACGTCGGTTGCTGCACCCTCCGACGCTTCTGCGTCGTCATGCCCTTCCCAGACACCAGTGGCTGCCTCTTTGTCGGCTTCAGTTGTGTCATGCACCTGCTGCGACCGATTTGGCTGCCGCGTTGTTGCCTCCGATTCTGTCGCAGTGGTGCGGCTGGTCTGCTCCGATTGCCCGGATGCCTCTGCCGTTGGCCGCTCTGCATCCTCTGCGGCATGGGTTTCGCGCACTGCACTGGGATCTGCAACGTGCGATGACTGACTCTGCGGCGACATGGGTGACACTTCCACTGGGTTTCGGAGGCTTTCTGCAGCAAGACACAACACTGCTTCCGCACTCTCTGTTCTCCACGTTTCCAACCATGGTGTTTCAGGGAATGGTTCGCGCAATGCTTCCGCGCGTTGGACAAGGTCATAGTGCCCGGTGATGCCAGTGCTTCGGTGGAAAAAGTTCTAAGACATTGGAATGTTCTTGCAACTTCTGTTGTATTTCTGCATCGGTGATGTAGGCCATATCCCGGATCCAAATGTTTTTGTTATCTTCTTGGCTCCAAATGAGACAGTGAAAGTCAAAGGCTTGTGTGAGTGCCCACAATTCTACGACTGAGCCGTGGTGAATGGAGTCCAGCATGCGTGGCTTTTCCAACACCGCAACCACTTTACTCCAAAGCACGATTTCGGCTGCTGTCAAACCTTCTGCCGCCTCCAACTGCTCTGCTTGCTGAAGGAACCCCAGGTGTAGGCCTGCTTCTCGGTCATCAAACGGCACACTGGCAATCGCAACCTCATCTGCTCTGGGTCCATTCTTTTGCTTGCACATCCATTCTAAGGCTTGCAAGTATAACTTTGCCGCGTCGGATATCGACCACGACTGCCAACCGCGACAATGGCGAAGGACTGCATGGAAAAAACACCAACCGTCACCAGGGATTTTGATTAGCTCACACCCTATTCGGGTCTGCACACGGACGGCAATTTTCCGGTCCTCATCCTCCTCCACTTCTTTCTGGACACTCGGGTTGCTCGGTTCTGCTCGCAGCGAGGAGGCGGCATCCACTCCGTCTGCAACTCTGGCTTTCTTGCTAACGACGGGATTGCTGCCGGCACTCGTGTCTATGCATTGGCTGGGTGTGGACTCTTCTGCTTGTCGTCGATTCGCCTTCTTCATGGTGTTGCCATGCATTGCACGCATCAACTGGTTTCTAAGTTTGCGAGAGGTTGACCAGGCGTTCCTGACTGGTTGCGCTGCTGCGATGCTGCCCTGGCAAACGCCTTCCACACATACCCAACTGGCTGGTGAGAACAAGAAGATGGCTGCAATCAACATTTGCAGTCTACTTCGTGGCGATCCTGGTTGCCGCCTTGCTTTTACCCGAGCTTTGCCCACCCGACGTGCTTTCCTGACCCACCCACTGCGCAGGCGTGCACTGGCTAGAGCACGTTGCGCTTGGCATGCGAAGACACAGGTGAAGAGATTGACCGCAAACAGTAAATCTACTTGCTTTGCGCTGGCACACAAGCTTGCTGCGGTGACTGCCATGCCCCAGCTCAAATATGTGTATTTCCCAGGCAACCTTCGCGTCCAGTGTGTGTGCTTGCTAGATCGGTTGCGCGACCCCTTGCCACACGCAGCCTGCACTGACTGCCACTGCGCGCAACAATGCTTCTTGACTTGGGAGGCAAGCCAGAACACCATGCTCAGCGCTATGCAGCAGACAGCTACCTTGGTAGCATGCTCACGCTGTATGTCACTGGCTATGGCATCCCACTGTGTCATGGCTTTCCGCTTTGGGACAACCGTGCTTTGCGAATTCGTTGTCTGTGGTGGCGTGGTTCATTTTGTCCTTGCTAGGTTGCTTGTACAAGCACAACTGCAAGTGGTCCACTCATTTTTTAGTTGTGCAATGCTCCTTTGCCGGGGTTTACTCTGTGCGTTGCATTTTCCCCGCTACTTCTTCTGTGTTTACCTTTATGTCTTTCTGCAGTGCTCCGGTTTTAGACTTCCTACGCCTACGTCGCCTACTTCAGTTCGTGGAGGGTGTGTGTGTTTACTTCTCTGTCGACTTTCTTTGCTTAGCCTAGAGCCTTGTCGCAACGGCCGCGGAGAGACTGCGTGCCCTGGTTTGTTTACCAGTGGCGGTGTTTGCTGTCCCCTGTTCAAAGTTTAGCCCCCTCTGTGTTTTTGAAGAGCTTGCTGGGACGTTTGTTGAAGCTTCTTCAGTTCCAAACGAAAAAAATATATAGTCTCATCTACTTCTAAGTGGCCTCTTTCCATAATGGAACTGGCCCCTGCGGGGGTGATCAAATGATATCAGCAAATGTCAGCACACTCGCTCGGTCAAAGCAACATTTTTCCCCTCAAGATTGCATCATGCGTTGATGCTCCGGAGCCCCCGCTGGGATCTCAGCACACTGGACCTACTGTAAGCTGATGGACATCACATCAGCTATCTAAACATAGTACAAATCCAAACCTAAGCCAATCCTGAGCCACTTTAGGCCCTTTGATATCGGGCCAACCATCGCTTCACGACAGGGTGATCTCTGGGACCTGACTTCTCAATCCACCTCAGGCCACTTTGAGATTTAGAGTTGTCAAACAGTTTTCCAAAAGTTGCATCATGCCTATTGCATTTGGCATATCCATTGGCTAGTTTGTGTCTAGTTGCTCTCGGCGGGCCAAAGCACCCGCAGCAGCACACTCCTCTGGAGACTGGTTGGCATTCTGTGCACTGAGCCATGCAGCACAGTATACCTTGGAGGTGGATGACCAGGAGGTCCAAGAAGAATCAGTGAAAGCAACCCTCAAGAATGCAACTCCACCATGCAAAACGGATGCATCCTGAAAAATCAAACATGAAAGTTCAAAATTGCGCTGAATAAAACTTAGTTACACAGTGCAGTTTACGCTCAACCTCATCTTTGACCTTGCTCTTTGCCATTGCCTTTGACTTTGCTTTCGCCTTCGCCTGTGTCTTTGCCTTCGCTTTGGGGCTTGCTTTGGGGCTTGCTTTGGCCTTGCTGCTTGCCTTGACCTTGCTGCTTGCCTTGGACTTCCTAGTCCTAGCCTTCACCTTGGGGCTTGCTTTGGGACATGCCTTGCTTGCTCGCGACTTGGTTGCTACCTCTGCAGTTGCACCAGTCTTAGTTTCAACCTTGCGTGCTTTGTGCTTGGCTGCTTGCTTTGCCTTTGCAGGCCGTTTTGCTTTGACCTTGGGCATGGCGCCAAGATCTCCACGACAAACTTGGGGTGCACCATCAGGCCCCAACTTGTCAACCCCATGTGGAGAAGTCACAGCATCAAAAGACTCACAAGCATCATCACTGACATCGACAAGGTCCTGCGACTTGTCAAACTCCTGTGGAGAAGTCACGGCACCCAAAGACCCCCCATCATCATCACTGCCATCGACAAAGCCCTGCGACTTGGGAACCTCCTGTGGAGAAGTCACAGCACCCAAAGACATCCCATCATCATCACTGCCATCGACAAAGCCCTGCGACTTGGCAACCTCCTTCCAAAAAGTCACAGCACCCAAAGACCCCCCATCATCATCATTGCCCTTGACGAAGTCCTGCGACTCGCCGACCTCCTGTGGAGAAGTCACAGCATCCAAAGACATCCCAGCATCACCACTGCCATCGACAAGGTCATGCACAGCAAAAGTAAACAAACATAGAAATGCTGGTGGCGCATGACTCCATATTATAAATGAATATGACAAGATATGACAAGATATGACAAGGCTAGGATTGGCTTCGGTTTGGATTTCATGTACTCTGCATTTTGCATGGGTCCTCATGTAGCTCACTGGTCTCAATCTCACCATTAACATCAGGTTCCTCCTGGGGCCAAAGACTGACAACATGCAAGGGTTACATAGTCACGTGGCGTCACACCTACAGCTAAGGCAGCAAACTCATGGTGCCTGTTCGAACAGAGCCCGTGGGCTGAGAAGGCTCGACAAATCCTCACTTCCCCCAAGTCGTCGCAGTCGCTGATGTGGGAGCCCGGGAGTGGTATCCTTGGAAGAAGTCTTTTGACATTATATAAATCAGAACATATTTTATCATTCATCCTAAAAAAGATATCGTTAATATGATCGGTGTGTGACTAGTGGGCTCTTTCTGTCGAAGGGCAATCTCAGTAGGCATGGGCGAGGGTGTTGGCCCCATTCCATCAAAGTAACTTGGTGACATTCCCAACTGGTTGTCAGGATGGTAGGGTGAGAACACAGGGGATGGCTCCATCACCACCACATCGGAATCTGATCCTGCAGCCTTTTGTGGCTTGTCTAACAACCTAACTCTTCCAATTCCAACATGTCCTGCGTTGGATACTTGTAGGACGGCTCGACTGGCTCACCCATGTAGGCATTCCTTAGGATTCGGAATTGATTCTCAGATGTCCCAAAACTGATTGAATCAAAAGTATCGGACCATAGATTGGATTATGATTGGATTCCTGACCATCCCGAAACTCATTGGATTATTGGTGAACCATTGGTTGGATTTTGATGGGATTATTCATTGGATTATAAGTCAATTCTTGGATATTCAAACTTGAATGGATACTTGATTATTGGGGTATGATTGGATTCTAGGATGTTTCAAAACTGATTGGGTTTTGATTGGGTTAAGATTGGATTCCCAGATGTCCCATATTGATTGAATTTTATCAGTAGGCCACTGGCTGGGTTATAATTGGATTCCCACTGGCTGAGTTATATTTGGATTCCCAAATGTTTCAAATCTTCTTCTTTATGGGATTGGACCCCTGATTGGGTTATGTTAAGGCGATTGGGTTCTATTGAATATTGGCTGGGTTATGATTGGACCACTGGTTGGACTAATTGAGGTAAGTTACTCAGACACTGGTGGGCAGGTCTCTTCACCATCTTCACAATGGCGCTCATCGCAGGACAACCTGGGCAGGGCTTCGATGGAGATTGTGAGGTTTGTTTTCCATAAATTGTGAGGTTTGTTTTCCATTCCAATGCCATCGAGAATCGGATCGATCAGAACTTCAGCATCACCATTCAGATCAACTTCCAAAGAAAAGGCATCCTGCAAGCAGGGTGTTGTACCTAGTGTTGATATGATATTCACACAGGGACATCACAGGGACATAGAATAGCAGTTGAGAAAAAATGATGAAGATTGATTGATATCTGAACATTATGACAGTCCTCCAAATTCTTTCGACCCTTTCGGGATGAAGCAGGACGCTTCTTGGAACCAGAATTTGTAGACTTGGTTGCAGGTTTCTTCTTGGCATCACCATCCAGTGTCAAGAGTGCATCCAAACCTGCCAGGTCACCACCACTGTCGCCATCAGAATCATCCTGATTGCCTGGGCCTAAGGGCGTATGCTCGGCATCAGGACCTTCATCACCCTTGGGTTTCTTTGTCTTCTTGCTCTTTGGTTCCTTTTTTTTGGTGGGTTTCGATTCCGCTTTGGGGGCAGCACCACCCGAAGAAGATTCCTCTGCAGAAGACCCATAGCGTCCAGGCAGATCAAAAGTAGCATGACCTGAAATTCAGATTTGAAAAATTACATGTCAGATTCTTGCAACATGAAGAAAACATGGCATATACCTTCATTTTTTTACTGCCCCATGTGAGGTACTATACAAATTCAACAGTGGTGAAACTCCCACAAAATAGTACTCCATATCAAATATACTATATATTGAATGATATACTTCATATCTCAAAAAAAAACAACTTCTAGTCCTCTTTTCATTTATGCTATATTATATTGTAGTGTATCATATATTATATGACATTATATTATGTATTAAATTATATTAGATTATATTATATTATATTTTATTATATTATATTTTATTTTATCATATTATATTATATCATATTATATTATACTATATTATATTATACTATATCATATTATATTATATTATATTATCTTATAATATAATATAATATAATATAGTATAGTATAATATAATATAATATAATATAGTATAATATATTTATCCAATCCTCCCAGTGTTGCAGTTTAGGCACTGCTTGCAGCAGCAGGTGCCGTCGGTGGCCCTCCAGCAGGTCGTGCAGCCGATGAGGAAGAGGCAGCACCCCGTGGACATCGGTCTGGGCGAGGAATAGCCGCTGGTGCCACTGGATGTAGAAGTTGGCCAAGCTGAAAAGCCTCAGGACGTAACAAGGTGGAATTCTTGGGGAAATATGAGGCAGTGTGCACCGTATATACATGGTGAACTTATGGTGAACGCACTTTTTTTTTGGTCCTGATGGCCACTAGCTTCATGATATGATACCATCACAACCATTCAAACAAGGGGCAGGTGGGCGAAAGGTGAGGTCTTGGACGCATTCGACACTGTCATCAGACTCATTGCCCATGTTCTTCGCTGCCTTTCCTGCCTTTTTTTTATCGGACATAGGAAAGTATTTGCTTTACCCCTGCTAACTTTGCTTGAGCCCGTAAAATCTCTAAGACACAAGGAACCGAAAATAAGAATCATAGTTCCATCATGTTTGAAGTAGCCAATGTTACTTCTGTTCAAGAAGTATTCAAATGCATTTGGAGAAACTCCAGAGACTTTTTGACCAATGTCCTCCAGGAATGCTCAAGTTGCCAATGGCAATGGTTGACGACATGTCAGTGGAATGTATCCACACCATAAACGAGCAAGAAGGATCATGAAGGGGCCATGTCCACAACTATTCCAATGAAATTGATCATTTTTTGTGACAGACTATGGATGGACTCAAGGTTCAACAATTGACAAACCAAGATATAATCAAGTGAACCCCCTTCAACCCTCTTCCCCATGCAATTTCTCAAAATCACTTGGCAAACGCAGCTCGCTGATTTCAGGTTCACATCAGTCGGATGATCTGCTCGTTGATGTCAAGGACTCCAGCTGTGACGGCGATGGGCCGAATCGGTGTGATGGTCTTGAGGCCACTGTCTCCGGTGGCATCCAGCCTGTGGTGTTCAAGATTGAGTAAGGGCCGGGAATCATGTTTATTATGTAATGTGAATATGGGAACCCATTGTAAGCAAGATGAAGTGCATACTGGATATCTTGATTTTTAACAGACTCAACAGGCTAGTTATCATACCCGAATCATAGTTGTCAAATTTATGAGGGTTGATCAGTATGAACAATTCATGACAAGGGGATGGTACAATCTGAATGGATACGAATTGGTAAATGATAACTATCTGAAACATATACCTCCAGGGTAAAATATGGATGATAATGATCGAAAATGGGGTTCCATATTGTTCTCCAAATTGTTTCCATCATAGGTTTCCTTGATGTTTTCCTGCTGTTTTTTTCCTACTGCTGTTCCTGCTCTTGCTGCTGCTGCTGCTGCTGTTGTTGTTGTTGGCATTGTTGCCGTTGTTGTCGTTGTTGTCGTCGTTCTCGTACTTGTTATTGTTGCTGTTGTTGGTCTTGGTTTTGTGTTATTTTTCTTGTTTCCTGGTGTTTTTCCTCTTGTTGTTGCTGCTTCTGTTGTTGTTGTTGTTGCTGCTGTTGCTGTTGCTGCTGTTGGTGTTGTTGTTGTTGTTGTTGTTGTTGTTGTTACCCAAACAGCTAGTGTTGCTACCATTGGCTTTGTTCTTGCCACTTTTTGTTAATCAAAACTCACAAGCATCCTTTGTGAAGTTGTTGCTACATGGTCTTGGGAAATCCCAGCCTGCAACGAAAGCCAACAAGAAAGTTCTGGTTCCCCTTGAATTTGCTGAAGTTCAAATACCCCCCAAAGCTGTTGGCACTGACTCCATCCTTCTTTGCTTTTTCCTTCCTCTTCCTTTTCCCATCATCCTCATCACCCTTTGGGGGCTCAGCGATGAAGACAAGGGGTTTCTCCAGGGTCAACTGGTCATGGGCTGCGTTGATGGAATGGTGGCTTACTCCGATCTTCACCTTCCAGGGACTTTGCCAATATGAGAGGTTTTGGGATGCCCATTAGTGGGATAATAGCTTGTTACAGGAGGAAAAGACCATGTATCCAATATCATAACAATAGGAGACTCCTTCAATTTTGATTATGTTGGAACTTCTCAGGAAGGGCCTCACCGGCGTCCTCCAACTCATGGATTACAGTGCTCAAAGGGGTGGGGCTGTCGACACAGGGCAAGCTCTGTAAATGGGAAGGCATGCCTTTGCGTTCCATCAAGATAATGCTGGTCAGTGAAATGTTGAAGGCAAACCAATGGCCCTCTGGATCACTGGAGCATTCACTGGCTTCCTTAGATTGGTAGCCCAACCCACATGACAGGAGGAACCTCGAAGATACCAATGTCAAGGTGCGCTCAGGATTGGGAGTGGCTTGTGACTCACTGAATTGAGGCAAGTGTCAGCACCATTCCGCCACTCGCCACTCCCAAAGCTGAACCTGTCCAAAGCATATGTGGGAGTAATATTATATGAAAGGGAATGGTGTTGTCAAATGGAAATGCCAAAGGGATTAATAGCATGCCACATCATGTGAGACTCATTTCACATCATGTGTGACTCAGTAAACACCATTGGATAGAACCAAGTAGCAATTCTCGGTGCTGGAGAAACTGGTTGCGGCTCCGACTCACCAGAAAGATCTTGTCCCCAGCTTCATCTGTAATGAGCTCTGCGGACCCATTGATACCAAGCTTACACCTTAGCTGATCTATATATTCTGTATTAAATGATATCTAGGGGTGGCAAGTAGAATGATGATTGTCCCCACCGAGCACCTGAGCAAAGTAAAGCAAGTGACACTTGGGTGTCCTTCAGTTGGTATTCAGCTTAGAGACGGCTTGGCCAAGCTGGACACATCTGCCTCTGTGCAGGAAGTCAGATCGGACAACTTGATCTTCTTCGTTGGCCGTTCTCCTGCATCCTGCTGGACAGGCCTGAGAAGGGAATGGGAAGTCGGTAGAGATGGTCAGTACCACACACTAAAGATATTTTATTCCTGAGTTAGTTGTAACCATTCAGAGCCATTGTGATATTTGTCAAAATGAAATCAAACCTTGTTCATTCAAGTTTGGAACACCAATCCTTTCATCATCTTCCATGAAGTCACCATCAGCGTTGAATTTTTCATTGTGTTCCTTGATAAGTCGGTTGGCATCTTCCTTGGTGTCCTCATATTCAATCCATCGATTTGCAAAACTTTGAAGGACCACCAAGGAGTTGGGCTTGGAAACACACACACTTTGTAGTTCACATCACTGGTGGATGGACCATTGTCCCGTAGAGATTGGATGACCGGGTCGTATGAGGGAAAGTTTGGAAGCACAGCATTCCCTGCCCTGCAAGCATCATAAACCGCATTGGCAATGCGATTCTGCAGCATTCCGGGGTCACCATTCAGCACCACAGAGGCGCACATGATGCGCTTGCCGTCAGCCACCTCCTGAGGCTGGTTGGTGCACTGGGTCGGATGTGCCACAGGAACCAACTAGGCTCAGACTATTTCTTTTGAATCAATAGTCACATAATGTCACATACTTGTAACTGATTATGTCCTCCAGCGCCGCCAATGCTGGAAAGGCGTCATAGGTCAAGAGGTCAATCATCATGACTGTTTGCATGGTGGCAGGGACAAAGGCTTTCAGGGTAGATCTCACGAAGTCTGTTCCTCCGGCCACCTTAGAGTTGACCACAAACACCTAGCAATTAACATGACATACAGTAATCTTTTGACAGTTTCAAAAGCTCCTAGCATCGGAAATCATGTTTTGACAGGTTTGACCATGTTATGCCTAGGAACTTGTCTCATTTCCTGGGTGTCTGTGAAAGCTCGTCCCAGGTGGGGTACTGCACTGGTAGCCTCAAGGTTGAAGCGATTGCAAAGAATAAGGGTCAATGATGATACTAGGCCAATGTTCTATAGAACTAAACTATCACACAAACTATCTAATGGTAAATAACAATAAAGCCCAAAAACTGGTGGCTTCCACATGGAAGCCCTGGGAAGCATCTTCACATCATGGACAACGGCACCTTTGAAACCAGGTGTCGATCGGAAGCCATTGGCCTTCTCGCGATACAGCACTGCGAGGCCTGTGATCGCACCCTCACGGCGTCCATACACAGTGTCCTGGGGCCATTCGGTTTTGGAACCCCGTTGGAAAGGAGAGGGAACCTATCATAAATTTTGGGCATATGTTCATTTGGAATTATGTATTTTTTCAGTCTGTTCCAATTTCCATTTGTCTGTGTCCATTCCATTTGCTGAAGGCCAATGGTCATGAATGAAACTTCACAATCAGCCAAGTAGCTTTGTCGAACACCCATGTGAGATTCCGAAGCACAAGGTTACGCTCTTTCAACGACAGGTCTTTCCTAAGCAGGCGATATATCAAGGGCCGATCTCAGTCCCAGCTCTAACACTAGCTCCAGATAGTGATCGTTCCCAAACCAGGATTTTAAGATGGGTTGGTTACATTGACATAGCTATAGGTCATTTTGACAACTGCCACAGGTAATATTGACAACAGTTGGTGAAATTATCCATCAGCCCTTTATCAACACCAAAAGTATATCAGTGAGATATGCTTCAACTGACTTGACCGTTGATAATGACAACATTGAGACATACTTTCCCAAGAAGAGACCTAGAACCAATCAAGCTTCTCAAGTTTGTACTTCATGTCCCTGATGTCAGCATCCTCCTGGTTCATGCTGCTGCCTTGGGCATCAGGGTCATGTTCCTCATCGTCGGCCTCATCATCCTCCTTGCAAGCAGTTTCGGCAGGCTCGTCCTTGACGTCGTCGTCGGATTCATCCTTGCACTTTTTCCTGCAGGGGGGTGCATACATTATACTATATTGCACTATAGGGGAGTGATTCCATTGAAGTGGTGCTCAACCAGCACTGAATGAATTGTTGAAACAATTCTTGAAACTCTGGTGCCTCTGAATATAAATTAAATATAATATATATTATATATTTAACCTATATGAGCATTTGGGTATGATACCTGGGTTGTTGGATTGTTTGGATACCCTATCCTCTCAGCCACCTGTCCACGGTTGGGATGGACCAAAATGCAGATTCCATTCCGGCGGTAAGAGGCAAGTAGATTGGAAACTGCAGTAATAATCCACTGGTAGCGGTGAACGGATAGCACCCCAGAACCTGGCAGATTGCACCATAGGACCAGGCCGTGATCATCCTGGCACTTGCACTCGGGAATATCATTGAACGTTTCTTCTATCCAAGTTGCCAATGGGGGCATCACTGTTGATTCTGCCTCTTTAGCCAACCCCGCAAAGAGCCGCATGTTGGCCGAAATGAAATTCCCCACGAGATCCCAGGCCCTCTTATGCAGCTCCTGGGAACAGGGCCAGAAGCAACCATTATATAGTATAAATGTTGGAGATATGTTGGAGTAACTCTGGGCTATAAAATTGATCTTGTTTGTAAATCGGTTCTACTGAAACATAGTTTCCCAAGGGGTCATTGGAAAAATGCGGTTTAATTATGATTCATGACCTCTCCTCGAGTTGACCGATCAGCTTTGTCCGGCGCTTTGCAGTTTCCTTCTCCGACCTCAAGCGCCGAGCCAAAGGCACAGAGGCGGGCAGTGGCTGGATAACGAGATGTTGTGTTTTGGCCAAGGGTGTGTCAATAAGCGACATCCATCTGAGGGTACTATATATAAACACAAAATTTAAACACATAGTAAATTCCAAATGAACCCAAGCGATTTGGAACTACAAATTGATAACCCGTTATCCGGTGATTGGTTAGATCCACAAACTGGTTGGCAATCTCAGCCTAGGGGCATGATCCTTTGGCTCTCATATGTGACCTGGTCTGCCTGCAGTTGCTCAATCCAACTCTGAAAAGCCGCTACCATCGACTTTGCATATGCATTTTTCTGGCGATCTTGAGCTTGGACAATGAAGTCTTCGATGGAAGATCCACGAATCTGGCAGGGCAGCCCCATTGGAAACAATAAAAGCCGAACCAATTTCATCCATTTTCAGTTGCGTCAGCAAAGCCTGCCACAAACCTAAAACAACTTTATTTTGTACATCCGATAAAGGCATTGGACTGCAATGCCTCCAGATTTTTACTTTGTATATTTTAGGTGGTCATAACAAAGCACACCATATTTCCCAGGGGTTGTTTCTTGACCCACCTCCAAGATGAACGGGATCCTTTCCCAGTCGAAAGGTTCAGCTGCCTTGAGAACCGCTCCCAAGTCAGTGTCAAGGCTCCTTGGCAGAACGGAACGTTGGGAAATAAATGGAAAACATTGGAAAACACATCACATTTTGAGCCCCAAACCGATCTTGAATTTGTGACGGTAATCCTGCGAAACCCATCACAAAATGCTAGTCCTGGGAGTATTCAATCATCTCAGCAGAACAAATCATAATTAGGAAGATTGATTGCCTTTAGCCACCCCTATCAAAATGTGACGGGAATCCTACGAAACCAGTCACATTTTGAACATTACTTTCTGGGTCACATTTTCATTGGATATTTCATGGTTGGCGCCAGCCAACCCCGAACTGGCATGTGTGACGGGAGTTGTACGCATCCAGTCACAAAACCCCAAAGTACGACGGCTGGCGCCAGCCAATCTGAAGGTGGGATGTTTGACGGGTTTTGTTGGTGGATAATGCTGGACATATTTCCCCAAAAAGTTCAATATATAATAACTGGACATATTTCCCCAAAAAGTTCAATATATAATACTGTAACTGCATGTTTGGTTACTAGCCAAGTGGCCCTTTCATGAAGAGAGCATCATGCTGGTTCATGATTTCTCCAGAAAAGGCCTTTTGCATGTGATCTCGCAACCAAGCCCATAGGCAGCAAATGTCGAACAAAGCAACGGCTTGTTCTTCATCAAGTTGAGCTGCTTTCTACAGGGGAAAAGCAAATAGGGATAATTGTGGGCGCATGCACTGAACCCCACAAGGGAGGACAGAGGACATATTAATTATATAGTTTTGTCCCACAATTGGCGTGTCGGTTGAGGGGGCCCCAAAATGTTTTTTTCCAGCTTCTAAAAGTAGCTTTGGGGCATTTTTGAGACAGTGCCAAATGGTATACCTTTACTAAGTTTTAGGATACGAATTGTTTTCAAAAGAAACCGGCACCCTGAGCTGACCTTGGCCTTGTTTGTGGACTCTTTCTGCACCTTTCGTTCAAAGTCCTGCTTAAGCTCAAGCCATCTTAAGACATCAGGTTACCATGACATGGATTGTCATATTCAACTGATGCAGTTGCTCCTGAATCATGCGGGTGATCCAAAGCAAACATGTTGGACCCGAGCTTTGAAAGATCTCACGGAACACCGCCTTCCCATGGTACTTGGCACACTCTTGCCGGGATGCAACACCAGGCACCCAGTAGTCTTGTTGCAAAAGCTCCAGCGGTACCCCTGCAGCAGTCACACCATTTTTTCCTAGTGATATTCTTGGTTGGGATTAAACCATTTCCCCTTGAAGGGGGGTTTCAAAATAAATGGTTGTTGCAAACCGTTGTCCTGACTCCCCTATTGTTTTTTTAAAAATATGGGGTCAGGAACTACCCTTTTGGACCACCCCATTTATGTTGGAACCTTTTTTTGGAACTCCCATTCGGTGAAAACTTTTCGATTGTGATGACAGGTGTTGGGTGTCTACTCACTCAGAATACTTTAGATAGCAATTTTATGGTTGGTTTGGCACCCCAAAAAAAGGCCCCAGCAACCCACCAACTATGTAGTAAAACTATAGGAAAAATGCTATTGGAAGTAGACTTGTGGGGGCCTTTTTTTGGGATGGCGAACCACCAGGAAAATTACAAACTTTAGAATCAACCAGTTGCCCCTTCAGCCCATAACCGGCCTGAAACTTCATGCTTGAACTGATCATAGTGCGCATGCAACAGATTGCCCAGCTGGGGCGGGGCACGAAGCCTCAATATGTTGCTGTAACAATGCCCCATTGAAGAGTTAAAATTAAAATGCATTGGGCTCCAAGCCCCCAAGTCCCTAGACAATCCCAGATTATCCCAGATTCAGATGAGTTTCAAATTGTACAGTAGGGATTTGCGTCGGGTGTCAATCCGGTGGGCTTTGACAGTGACTAACTTGTTGAAATCAGTGATGCACTTGGACATTAGGTCCTTCAATGCCCGACTAGCCCCTGGTTTGCCCTGACCCTGTCGCCGCTCCAGCGCCACAGCTTGGCCAATGGCGCCAAGGAAATCCAGTGCACTTGGAGACTGCTTCTCGCTCGTCACAAAGCCGACACCTCAGTTGAGGACGATTCAGGAGCATTGGGAAAGGATTGGGAATATAGGGTTCTAAGCTACCATCAGTATGTACTGCAACATAATACATTAGAGGCACGCAAGCTGTGAAGAAAGTGATGACCAGGGTTTTGAAAGTAGGTGAAGCTGCACCGAATCCACCGGAAACTTTCTAACATCTTGGTCACCACAGGCATTGAAAGGACATCGTCATCCCACTCCTTAGCAAACAAATTTTAAAGGTTTCTAGTTAGAACACTGGGAAAAGGAAATCGCGCAATGGTAACTAAGTTGGTATTGCAGTTGATTTTTGCCATGAATCCAACTCGTAGATGAAGCAGCAGATGCTTGTCATAAGCAAAACTTTCGTGAACCCGTCATTGAAGCAAACAGAGAAATTCTTCACCGTTCTCGAGGAATCAGCAAAGGGAAAGCGGGTCTCAACCGCTTCCGCTGATGAACGGTATCCCCTCAAGAATTCTCCAGAGTGAAGTCGGCATTGTTCATTCTGTGGCCAATCTGCAGGGATGAAATTGTGATTTCAATGTCATCTAAATTTCAATCAGTGTGCATTGCTGCATTGCTCTTGATGATGTCAGCAACAAAATTGTATGTAAGCAAACACAAGTATTAAGTCACCAATTGAGCCCCAAACAGCCGTTCTTTGCAGATTCCCCAAGATGAAATGCAGACAGGGGTAGCCAGAACTCAGCAAGATTGGCTTGTGGAACCAAAGATAGCGTCGGCTTCGGGTCCGTGTCAGCACATCTCTCCACAATCAGCCGGTTGAGCACCTGCAAAGCACACATGTCATAAATATGTAGTTAAATATCCCAGTCACAGCTCCTAAGATTCAAACATGAACATGGACGAATTGACGGCTGTCAACAAGATCGACCGACATAAATTTGGAACCACCTTCAGCCTCAGGTCCAGGTCACCTAGACATTCGTCCACATGTTGTCCAAGGTTCTTCTGGGAAGTGACCTTGCAACAGAAGGACAACCCCCTACTGTTGGATCATTCAACCTTGGAAAACCACAAGTAGCTGTCATGCGAATGCTTCAAGTAGCTTTAATCCAAGGATAGGGCAGTATCGAAGTATGCCCGTAGTTGTTCCAGGGGATCACCAACTTCTTGCTTTATGGCCGCAGCATTGGCAGCCATGACTCGTGAACAGATCCCTGCAACGCAGGGCCCTACAAAATCCCTGTAGAGCCACAAGCATGCAATTCAATATAGGTAAGTAAGGGTAATATCTCCAGGAAGCATTAGCATACAGAATGCACAGTTTAATCATGGAAGCCGTTATTTGCACAATGTTTTCCCCGAATCCAGAAGGTGGCACATTGCCTATCCCACTGCAGAAGCTCTATGGCACACTGCCTATCCCCGAGAATGATGAAACACCACCTGCAACCAATGGTTCATGGGTGCTGGTGGTCTTGCAGGCAACTGAACTTGCGCAAGGCCCTGGCCAATCATAGGCCCCGCATCTACAAAAGCCAGGCGGTCAAAAGGTTTTCTTGGCTTAGCCATGTCTACCAAACTACGATAGTATCGTACGCCACGATCAAATGATGGAAAGTCTTTAGAAAACATAGTTGCCAGAGCTTCCAGCTCTGAAATTCGGTCAGGTTCCAGGTGCTGTACAACGATGTCTTGTGTGCAGTTCACTCTGTTGAAGTAATGTTCTGTGCTGCTTCGAAAGGACTCAGGGTAAACACAGAGTGGTGGTTGAATCAGCTCTTGGTCAGACATGAAGCCCTTGACCATAGCAAATACATCTTTCAAGGAACCACCCATCCGTAGGCGCCGTGGTACATTCTCATCCATCTGAAGGTTATGCCCTTGTCCAGGTAGGTCTGACAGGGACACAAAATAGATTTAGAATGGGGTGTACAGTAACCAGTTGTTTTTTTTTGGCAAGAACCCCCTACCTTCACGACACATGAACGAAAAGGACTGGGGAACTTTCATGTTGTTCTCTTCGTCGGTCTTGCGACTGAGATATGCATTCTTCAACGTTGCCGATGTTGGCATCATCTTGCTCCAATTTCTTACCTTGATATGTTGAAATTTGAACTCATAACTGGGACATTTTCTGACTTGGATACCGTACTTGAAATCTGACAGCCAGCCCGTCACTCAGGTGATTTGCAGACAGGCATCAGTATCTATCTGCTCAATGTGAAACTCCAGGCCAGATTTGGAAAACAAGGGGGTGAGCTTCTTGTACAAGCACCTCAGGAACCCAAGAGGAGCCCACATGAAGTCGTATAATATACTACGAATCATGATCATCAACTGTATTGAACATTGAGATGGTATGAGGCTTGTTTTCCAATACCAAGATACCGCATTATGTCCTGTGGTGTAAGTAGTTCTCTTTCAGCACGAATTGCAGCAGTCACAAGGCTGAATATGCCATCTGCGCAGCGGGGAAGATTAATAACGAAAAGGATCCCCCAATTTGATGGCAAACATCCATTGATCATTGAAACTATTTAGTAACAAGGCAAAACCCAAGCCTATGTCTTCGTGAGTGTGTCCCACCACCATATGGTGGTGGGACACACTTTTGAAATACCGTGCTTGGCACATCATGCACGCCCACTTGCCACAGATCGAGTTACGTAGTTCTTTGGGCGTGTTGTCGCCCTGGATCCACAGCCTCAATAGTGTTTCTTTTACCGGGGTAACTTTTTGCGATGGGTCCTAGCTTACATTTCACCAAGCAACTCCTGGGGCAGCTCTCGGTTGAGTGAACGCATCTTGGCCCAGGCGCGATCAATTGACTTCATCACCTTGGCAGGCCACAGGGATGCAAATTGATTTAAACATCAAGACCTTTTATTGTTGTGGTCTCTTTTGGGGTTTCAAGATCTTGAGTTGAGTCACACATTCAATAGTCCAGTTTGAACCACCGGGCATACCCTCATCACTGAGATACAAGTACACGCCCACACCGTGGACAACGCATCCCGTCAAAGTCAAATAGGTGCCTCAGCTATGAAACTAAGATTGCCTGTTGTGAACAGAAGGGTCCAACACTTTGCCCAAAAGTAACAAAGATTAACAAAGAGAAGACCAATCTTTTAGACAGATTACGCCTGGTGTTCTCATAGATGCTTCGCTTTGGACAACGTCCATTTGGCCATTTCGGCAGGGACAACTTTGCATGATCATAGCTATCTATGATGATTGTCATCAAGTCCTTCTGAACCTTGGCCCTCTCCCGGGCCAGGTAGTACACCTGGCGGTCCTTCCACGTCTGATTGAAGTGAGCCAGCAACTTGTCAGCAATGTGGGCTTCCTGGGTGAAGTCCTTAGTCGTGGGGCTTGATAATTTTAATGACTGTGGTTATGATGGTGCTATAGTTAATTTTGGGTAGCTGGATGCAGCTGTGTCTCGTTTGTTTTCTGTAGCAGGGACCGCAGGTGGGCACATGTTGCACATTGAGCATGCTGGGTTTGTTTGTGAAACCTCAGGCATTGTTTCCATTCCGAAACCACCCGAAAAAATGTTGCCCGGCATGCTGGTGTCTCCTCCTTTACCCTGCAGTGGCTTTGATAAACCAGGTAAAGTTCTGACCATGATCCATGTGGTAGTTCTCGGAGTGGAAGTCTTGCCGGATCATGGTTAAATGATATTTGCAGGAAGGGGCTCATCAAGTGTGAGTCAACCAAGCGTTGAAATAGTTCTTCTCGCAGTTGGTCATCCGCCTTCTTCAAGCATGACTTGGATGCCACCCTGAGATATCAAAATTGTTGATTTTCAATAAGACAATCCATTGAATTTATCTCACAGGACTACAGGACAGGTCCAAACTAAACTCCATGAAGAGACACTAGCTAAACCTTGTGGACGAGGAGCTCTGTAGTCATTGGCTCACCAGCAGACCAATACATATGCACGAAGAACGCACGAACTGAGGCAGACTTGTGAGCGCTCTTGCTGGCAAGTCCTGAGCGATTAGAGGATGAGCTGCTGCGGTTCTCATCTTGCTGCTTGGTGTAGTATTGTTTCAAGCCCAAACCAAAATCAAAGTGAAGTTGCCAATCTATTCAACCCAGTTCAAAGTATTTCATCAAGTTTCGGCCAAAAGTAGATCTACCATCCTTCCCATAGCAAGTCTTCTTACACCGTGACAATCGCTTCTTTCCAATGCCAAGCAGGTGCATCCATGCAACTTTGCAAACATGGTGTCCTGGAAAGAGAAAATTGCCAACATTGTGATGTGATCTTGAATTCATTCCTATTGCCATTTTCCCAGCCATGTAGCAATGTATAAGATAGAATAAGTTAGCTGTGAACAATCCCCATCAGTCCTTCGATATACCATTCCCGCTTGGAGCCTGGATGTTCTTGTTGAATTGTCCAGAGCACACTGTCTTGACCACATTTTGTCAGTAGCCAAAAGGCTAAACAGACCCGCAGCAGTGTTCGAAGAGGCACAGTGCAAGCACATTCACACTTGGGATGATCCAAAGCACTTTTCACTCTAGTCTTTGAACTGCCATGTTTTGCATATTTTGACAACGATCCCGTTCGTTTGTTGGAAGAAACTGCATGCATCGACTGAAGCCTTTGAGTTGATATCTCTACTCTACCTTTGCCACACCCAGAGACATCATCACTCCCGGATGAATCTGAATAAGACGAATCTGAGTCTGAGGGATCCAATGTGCTTGCATCGCTTTGCCTCAGTTTCACATAGACCCGCTGCTGACCCGGGGCATACACACTGGGGTCACTGGGGTACACATATGGACAAACACACATTGCAATTACAGCTGAGTTACTGTCCGTCAGAGCTAGAATCCGATGAGCATGACACCGGTGATGCAACATATGGTTCCAAACCATGAGACATGACCACGTCCGAGTCAGCATCATAGCGGCAAAGGATAGGCATGGCTGAAGGCTGAAGTAAGTTTAGAAACTAACATAACTGATCAGAATTGACAGAGTTGATATCACCATCGAGTGGTCAAGCCTCATCATATATATTATTTAAGTTATTTGAGACTAAGAACAACTAATCATCATGTAGCTTCCCTACATTGTATTACCAACTCGATGTAGGTATTTGAGGTTCTTCATGAGCTCAAATCAAATGGGTTCTACAATGTTGCGACGATGAAGACATGTCGTGACAGATCGATGTCATGAATTGTCATGAAAATTTTGCAAGTTGCACACTGTGGTTATGTAGTAAAATTGGGAACTTTGACGGATCAATCATCATCACAGAATTTTCCAAATTTGGGTTTGATTTCCCATGGTTTCCCAATACCCCAAAGAAATTAAAAACCACGTTGGCTTGAACGTAGATGGGCATTTTTCAAGATTGCATCATCTTCTGCGGGTCCGTGGCACGCAAAGCTGCAGCTAGCACAGCCATCACCACACGGACACTCATCGAATTTCCTCCAAGATCCTGGAGTACCTTAGGTGCCGGAATCAGCAGCAAACATCATATCTCCTGACATACTCAGCCACACCAAGTTCCAATAGTATGAGTTAGCCAGGTAACAGATTCAGGTAAGTTCATAGTGCTCATCCGGTGAAGTGGAAAGCCCATGAGGACCAGTGTTTCACGACCAAGCAAGTAACGCTGATGGGAACCAAGCACAAGCCATTTCCCTTTCGGCCTCATTTGGCAGAACTTTGATTTTCTGATTGAAGTAGTATGGCATGAACCACATAATTTAACTTATCATGATGAACCAGGAACATATGTGGCTTTTGTTTCACTAGGGTTTCACTAGGGTTTGCACGTCAAACAGGGGAGAGCTTGCGCAGTGGCCATCGCAAAAGGCATTTGCTGCAAGGATTGGCTGGTGTTAAGCACCACCGCATCTTGGTGGACCAATGTGAGAAGGGCAGCTGCCTCCCAGGTGGCAAGGGGTAAACATCATGGGGTAACATGGGCTAACCATCATAATCTTCTATGATCTATGGGCTGACGACTTGAGATAATTTGAGGTAGTAAAAAAAAACATGTCAAAGATCCGCCTGCATTTCTCGATGGGTTCCAATATAGCGCACAGCCTGTGGATATTTGGCCACCAAGTTGTTGTAGGCCGCTCTTGCATCGACCTGTTCACTGGACACACCCATATGAATCTTCATTATCAGTGACATTCCCTTATGAATCTTATAGCGACCACCAATGAACCCAGTGGAACCTCATGATCCAAAGCCCAGCACTGATGTTGTCGAATCCATTTCGCAGATTTGTTCACTGGCCTTGGGAAAGGTTGCAGAGTGTGTGTGACTGTGGATTGTATAAAACAAGCCACATTCACCAATGTTGTACCATATAATATCAGGTATTATACTATGCTATATATTGACCATAGAATATATTATGCTAAATATACCATTTAATATCAGGTATTATACCACCCCATGATATGTCTAATGTATTGAGCTTAGGCACTTTGTAGAGTTGGCAAGTCGTTGGCGTTCTCTTCGCCTACAATCCTGCTTCACTGCCCAGTGACCATTGTCGTATAAAACATCTTGCCTTAATTGCCAAGCCAACATGGGATAGAATCCCAGTACTTTTCAGCAACACCCAAACCCACAAGACTCAGCAGGACTTGGTTGTGACAAGGGGCCATGCGTGGTGGATTGGCCGTTTCATGTCATTCAGGATTCCCAGAATGTAGTCTTCCAAGTTCCCATCCAAGACCCGTAAGCAATCCAAGCGAATCATGACAATGAAAATCCGGCGTCTTGATAATGGAGCTCCAAAAAAAGTCCTAAGAATCAGTGCAAGAAAGTAACATAGCAAAACGGACACACTACAGCTTCATTTGACACCAGGGCTCGGGGACAAAATGTAGCTGGTGATTTCATACCTTAGACTCAAAAATGTGGTTCCCAGGTGGTCTAAGTAGAGAATCAAACACAAACAAATCACTGATCAAATCCCATGTGCGACCAAATCACCCAGGAACATTCGCTCGGATCAGGGCAAGTATCTTTTCCAGGATAGGTCTAAAACCAAGAACATTCTCAAGCACTGCTACCTTAGTCTCTAGAAAACAACAATTAAAGTGAACAACAAAATCTGAATTGTATGGCAAAACATTGCACAACTACACTCTTTATCCAAGAAACTTTGGGTCGATATCTACGAAGTCTTTTGATAACACGGAACAGCTGCTTTGCATTCTTGTCGAAGAGCATTTTCCGCGTTGTACTGAGAACGCTGTAGGGTTGACATGGAAATCCAGCCACATATGCGCTTACCTCAAAAAGGCAAACCCCACCATAGAGGAACAGATCAAATTATCATCGGAATAACCATGAACCCAGTGCCAAGTAAGTTGTTCCAACGGCTCAGTGCCAAGTAGCGTCATAGATGGGCAAGCGGTCACCCTCCTTGGTGAAGATATCTGGACAGATCCTAGGCTAGTTCAGGTCCACCCAGCAGCTTAAGCAACAAACTGTTGAGGAAGTTAAATAAGCTTGGAGAACAATACGTTTAACCAAGTTTCTCCCCACATTGCCCTGCGTTGACTCTGAGGAACAGCCTCTTTTTGGGATGTATCTCTGATGCAGACCTTGGTTGCCAACTCATCCACTTGTAATTCAACAAAGTAGTAAACCCCTCACAAACCCCTTACAACCCCCTCACAAGTTAGGCCCTGACTGAAACTTCAACGAGCCCTGCTTGCCAGCAGCATGAAACAACATGTCGAGGGCGTGAAATGGGGCATCAGCACCACTACCTTAGAAACCAGCAGGCGGTACCCAAGGAAGAACCACAAGGGTTGAAGACCTTATTTGCAACTACATTTTTGATGGTTCCACCGACCAAGGTGCAATCACTGGCATAAGTAAATGGTCCAGCCAGGTCCCGAAACCACGGTCCCAGTCCTCAATGGAGAAAAAGCAAGATAAACACAATATATTAGAGGGCAACAAGGATGTGCAGAAAATTTTACAAACAGGAATGAATGTGCAAAAAAGTTTCCAGAGCTCTCTAAGAACAGTGGGCCAACTTCAGTGTAATCGATCATCACTTGCGGGACATATGGATCCTGCAATGTGCAAGTCAAAATAAACATCCAAACACTTACAAACCCAAATGCATACACACAAACACCACAACTAAAATGGACACAACCACTCCCTCACCCCCACAATACTCCTCGTCACTTGAGCCAGTGGAGTAGTAGCTAGAATCTTCATTGCTGCTGCTGCTGATGCTTGGCATGGCGCAGCACAGAGCATACCTTCCCCTTGATCTGAAATGGGGCTAAAGGCTGGATAGGTTTTGGAAAAGGGTCGGTTACAAACAGACTGGA